CCGCTACTAAGCAGGTGTATTGCTTAGTATTATGATATTTTCCTTGGTTTAATTTAATCAATGGTGTGGCAAAACACAAATCATAAATGTATCAAATAAAGTAAATGTGAATTGAAAGCTATGTTAGGATAAAATAAGAGTATTTTGTATTAGCATTTGATAATTAAATATAGTTACATATATACAACAGATTTTAGAAAACAAAAATCAACGTACAATTTAGTTATGGATGATATTCTTTGGTTTAATTTAAGCATAGGTTTAGCAAAACACAATAACTTAATTTACCTAAATATACATATAAAAACAATGTGATGTGCAAGTTATGTTAAGTTATTCTAACACATGTTAAGCAGTTAGAATTTATTTAAAGTATCCTCCAAATTCATATAAAACATCTATACTTTTTAATTTTAATATATACTTTTTTTCATACCCTAGACGCTTTAAAAAATCCAAAGCAGAGCCGGAGTTGATACAGCAACGGTTATAGAATCTTTTTTTTTCTATAATCATTGACATAGTTTTAGAATAAATAATCCATGATAAAAGGTTAGATTAAAATAAACCTACCTCATAGTTATTGAAAATATTATATTTAATTTCTTTGTATCAGCTGTCTGATATTTTGAAATATGCAGTTTAGCAGTTCTTCTTGTTTACATTTAAATGTCAAAACAAATGTAAACAAACATTGTTAGTGTTCTCATCACAGCCATGGAGACCAATCAATATTTACTTTTAAAATGTTCACCTTAGAACTTTTAAAGCCAAAGGGGCAAAGCCTACGGTCAGTATTGAAATGTGAATAGTCCTATAATGGTCCTTGGTATGGTAGCTATATTTTTGTATAATTTAAGCCCAGTTGTTTCAGAATTCTTTTCACCTATTAGTAATACACATACAGACAGACACCATTAGATTTTTATATAATAGTATAGATTAGTATAGATAATTTTATCGATTTGTAATTTTATCGACCGGTGAAGAACATTTATTTATTTACAGTATTTAATCAGTATAATATTAATATTCTATTAATTTATACAACTTATTAACCTACATTTCTTAATGGCCAATGACCACTTTAACTGCTACACATTACAAAACATACAATAATCAATATTTTATAATATTCAATCATCAGCAACAAAACTCTCCTATGCATTTAATTAGACTAGAGGTCGTCCAGTGGTCGAAAACTCGACAAAACAAATGTCATGTACAGAATTTTTCAACAACCTCGGTCCTAGGTTTGTGGCAGGAGGCGATTATAATGCAAAGCATCCAATGTGGGGATCAAGGCTAGCTAACCCTAGAGGAAGGCAGCTTTTAATATCTATTAACAACAACAATATGAATTACTTGTCAACTGGCGAGCCTACATACCGGCCCACTGATCCTGAAAAAACTCCAGACCTCATAGATTTTTTTGTGACTAAAGGTATTGGACAAAATTATACTGATGTCAAATCTTGCCTGGATCTTTCATCAGACCATTCTCCAAAAATAGCAACCATAAGCTCAACCATAATTTATAAAGAACGTTCACCAACTCTCTCTAATAAACTGACCAACTGGGAAAAATTTCGGCAAATTATGAATGAAAATATTTCTTTGAAAATACCCCTGAAAACGCCAGATGACATCGATGATGCGGTAGAGTTTCTTAATTCTACAATTCAAACGTCTTGCTGGCAATCAACACCAGGCGACCAACAAAAGAACTTGAATCATATAAACTATCCAGTTGAGATAAAGCGGAGAATAGCGGAGAAAAGAAGACTAAGAAGAATATGGCAACAGTCACGTAACCAAAGGGATAAAGCCAATTTAAATAAAGCTTCTCAGGATCTAAAACGAGCGCTAAAGAATCTTAAAAATAAATGGTTTTGTGAATTTACTGCAAATTTGTCTGCAACTGAAAGTACAAACTATTCTTTGTGGAAGGTTACTAAGACAATGAAACAACCTAAAACTCCAGTACCCCCTCTACTTAAGCCCAACGGGTCATGGGCCAGAAGTAACGAAGAGAAAGCGACTTTGTTTGCTGACCACCTTTCATCAGTGTTCACGCCAAATACAAATTTGAATAACGACTACCAAGAAATTGAAGAATTCCTCGATTCCCCCATTCAGATGTCATTGCCGATATCTCAGTTTCGATCTTCTGAAGTGATAAAAGTAATTAAGGGGTTAAAACTGCACAAAGCCCCTGGGTATGATTTGATCATAGGAAAAATTCTCAAAGAACTTCCAAGAAAAGCAATTTTATTCTTGACCCTAATTTTCAATTCCATTTAGCGAACTGAGCATTTCCCTACTCAATGGAAAACGTCTGAAATTATAATGATTCAAAAGCCTGGAAAACCACCAAATCAAGTTAGTTCGTACCGGCCTATCAGTCCTCCTCCCCATTGCCTCGAAGGTTTTTGAAAAACTTCTTTTAAAGCGCCTTCGTTTTGTGATTGATGAATCAAACTTAATTCCTAATCACCAGTTTGGATTTCGGCAAGAACATTCTGCCATTGAGCAGGTCCATCGGGTGGTGGATGTTATCAAAGAGGATATCGAGACAAAGAAGTTTTGTTCTGCTGTGTTCATTGACGTGAGTCAAGCGTTTGACAAAGTTTGGCATACTGGTTTACTCTATAAACTAAAACGTAATCTTCCTCACACATTTTTCAATCTCATGAGGTCTTACCTTTTCAATCGACACTTCAGAGTAAAATTTTGTGATATTGTTACCCCACTTCACGAAATTCATGCTATGCAGGAGTTCCCCAAGGAAGTGTATTGGGCCCCGTTCTCTACACATTGTTCACGGCGGACCTCCCTGAAAATCCTAATGTCGAAATTGCAACATTCGCTGATGATACTGCTATTATAGCCTCTCATGAAAACCCTGTTATAGCTTCACAAATTTTGCAGACTGGACTCGATGATATCTCCGATTGGCTAAAAAAATGGGGGATCAAAGTAAATGAGAGTAAGTCGGTCCATACAACCTTTACAACAAGATTAGACACGTGTCCTCCAGTTACCCTAAACAACGTTCAAATCCCACAGTGCAATGAGGTTAAATACTTGGGCTTGACCCTTGATAGAAGACTCACTTGGAAAAGCCACATCTGGAACAAGAGAATTTCGTTAAATTTAAAATTTAAAAATCTTTCTTGGCTATTAAATCAAAATTCTAAATTAACAACAGAAAATAAATTGCTTTTATATAAAACCATTCTAAAACCAGTGTGGACGTACGGTATCCAACTGTGGGGGACATCCAGTGAATCCAATTTGAACATCATCCAAAGATTCCAATCTAAAGTTCTAAGACACATTCTCCAGGCACCGTGGTTCGTCAATAACGAAGTAATTCACAGGGACAGTCAAACCCCAACAGTCAAAGAAGAAATTTCAAAATTAAGTGCCAAATACTTAAAGAAATTAGAGTACCATCCTAACTACCTTGCTATAAATTTATTGGACAACAGCAACTATACATACAGATTCAAAAGATGCCATGTTTTGGACTTAAGTAGTCGTGTTTAGACTTCAAACTTTGTACTAAATATGCAAAGTTTGTGTGTTAGCTCTATTGTTGGATAAAGACTAACTACTGTGTTTAAATTTTATCAAATTTGCTTATTGTTCTATTTTTTGTTGAACAGATTGTAAATTAAATAAAATGTTACAAAAAAAACAGACTTCTCTATTTTCACCCCACACTAATTAATAAAACATGTGATTGGAATTTCTTCAGTTTGTTTTGATTTACAAAAATATAGCTATTATCATAGAATAAACATACTCCCTTAGTATTATGTTTAATCTATGCTATTATACCATCGGATCAAGGCCCCACTAGAAAAAAGCTTTTTCTAGTGGGGCCTTGATCGGATCCTTTTAGGACGCTCCGATACTGGATGAGTGCTTTCCTCCTTTGGCTTTAGAAGTTCTGAGGTGAGGAATTTAAAATTAAATATTGATTGGTCTCCAGTCTCCATGGCTCTGAGTACCATACTGTTCCAGTCGTACTTGTTCAGGATGGGCAAAGCCGTGTCACCCGATTGCATTATTTACTGCCCAGGCATTCCCGACAACGTAGAACACACTTTCTTCCACGTTGGGAAAGGCCCCACCTGGAGGCTCAACAATTTGTAGGACTGTTGTTGGTGAACACGGTCATACCGATGATGATGGAGGGTGAGAACAATTGGATCTGTGTATCACATTACATCCAGGGTGTTCTCCGCGCCAAGAAGCTCAACCTTGACCGGGATGTGGTGTAGGTCATAAAAAATCTAAATGCTAGAAACCATGCGAGCCCTGAGGGTTAAGGTCACATGTTGGCCTGATTTGAAGTAAAGTGACGAAAAGTTCCAGACATTGTGTCCAACAGAGCAGAGGTGGTTATTTAGTGAGTAGTCTGATAAAATTCAGGAGTCTCACACTACAGGCTGGCTACCTGTGTGCGTAAAAGCATTCTACCATCCCTCCCTTAAAAAAAGAATCAATTAGTCCATTTTAGTCCATTAGTAGTTAGGTTAGGTTTTACTAAATCTATTACTACTTAAATGTACATTGATTCTATTTCTAGTGAGATAAGGAGTGGACATCCTTGTTGCAAACAAACAAGATCCTCTTCTATGTCCTTAATAGCTAACAAAGATCGGTATAGATTGGAAATGCGAAGCTCAGCGAACAAATGCCTACAATAATCAATAATGTACTTGCTCCAGGTATAACCAAAACCACAGAAAACATACTACCATGATACTACTATAACCGTAGCAGCACTATAAGCTAAAAGCTCAGTGTGCAGTGTGTAGCAGACTAAAAAAAGAAAAACCTTGCTATAGACTGTAGTGGAGTGGACTGACTGGCTGAGACTGAAGTGGACTGAACTGAAAGTGACTGAGTCTGAGTGGTGAGTACTGTTACTGAGTGGAGTGAACGAAACCGAAACGAAAACGAGTGATTTAATTTATTGTCATACTCATGGACGTCAGTTAGTTATTTGTTTTTGTATTTGTGATGGAATTTCAAATAGGATAATCTTAAAATTAATTGTATTGTTCACCAAACTAACGTACTAAGTAACAAATATGGAAAAGAATTTCATAGTTTTGTTTATACTGGGAGCAACCTTGTGCATTTTATATTCATGTCACGGTAAGCCTTTAAGTTTACTAGGTAGGCCTATAACCAAAAAGGACACGCCTACTTCACCCAAGCCAAATCCTATTTATTGCAAACTTGGTTTATTAACAACATTGTTATTCATTTGCTTTTAATTTTATTTTATTTAAATACAAATTCTTGAGGTAGACCTAGCAGGGGCCTTAACCTAGGCGTGTTAAAATTGGTAAAAATAGGCAGTTAGGCCTACCTAAGTTAATTAGGCTAGGATTGAATCAGCCTCTGTGTTGCAACGTTAAAACTGTTGGTAAAATTTTGGTATCAGTTATCAATCATTGAGATGGATATAAACAGCAAGGAGTGTGGAATATTTACTATTGAATTAGGCTGATTTGGCATCTTGCCTTCAGGCCCTAGGCTAGATCAAATAATGTTTATGTAGGCCCAAGTTACTTGTTTACCACCAAGACCCGGTTTAATGTTCTAGCTTGAAATCTGTAACTATTATATGTAGTTAACTACTAAACTCTTCTACAAAACAACTTTGTTAAGTAAGTTTGTAATTGACTTTTTTGGTGCTGAGACCTTTTATTACTTAACCCCAACTCACTATGGAACTGGTGGGTTTCGGTTGGGGTGTGGGAGACATCCAATGTGGTCAATCATCACGAAGAATGTTTTGAAATACAATTGAACGTACCGGTAACTTAACTGAGGCCTAACTTAAAAGGTGGCATGAAGATGGTGATAAGATTAAAGTAGGCCTAGCAACTTGCCTTTAGACCTGCATCTTTTGAAACAAAGTTCAAAAAATGTTCCTATTTATTTATTTATTGATGGATACACCATTTTTACCAGAAAATACAGAGAAGTTTGTACAGAAGAAAATACAGCTTGTCTTTACGACAAATGACCAGCCAGTACAAAGATCGTGAAAAAAGACTGGAAACAACATCATTATAAGAACAATGCATACAAGATAACCTCAAATAATGAATTTACTGTAAATAACACTGATTGGTAGAATGCAGGCATTCATTATGTGTCTGGACTTAGAAGGTAGGCCTAAGTTAAACTGTTTAAGTAGCCTATTGCAGACTGGGATGTGAAACGATTTTGCAATCGTTTGAAGCTCCTTGGTACCTATAAACTTAGGCCTAACAGCCCACCCCCTTCTAAATAGAAAGCTAGAACCTAGATAACACACTCATTTGGCAACCCAAATAATGGACAGGGCATGTTTAACTTATTTTGTCTTTTTCAGCCCAAAATGCTGTGGTTGATATGGGTGATGATAAAATTATCTGGTGTGTTATATCACAAGAAGAAATGTTTAAATGTCAAAACTTCTCAGTAGCTGTGAAAAAGGAGAAAAATTTTCTAGGACCAGATTATCTTGATTTGCAATGTATTCAGGTAAGGTTTTGTTAGCCTCAAAACTGTAATTTACTGTATGTAACTAAGTAACGTATTCTTAAGTTTATTGATGCATAGAAACTAGTTGTTCTGCCCGTGCTTCGCAACAGAGTGTAAATATTAAAGAGAATAATGTGGTTCTTTAAATATACCTAACGTAAAAAAAGAATACAGTAGTTAGACTACATACTGCACAAGTTAGCTCTTTTGTCTACCTATAACTTAACAATAACATTGGCATAACTTAAACCAGTTTGTGACGAAATTTCAGGGGTTTGAAGAAAATATTTAAATCGACGAATATGGGATGACGGTGAAAATATTGTAACAACCCATTAAAATTTGGCTTGTTACAGTACGTAAGTTGTGTGATATAAATTTATAAAAACCATTTGTTTTCCCCTTATGTTAGTTTACAAATTTATAATAGGCCTAATATTTTGATATGGTACAAAAGGTTAAGATAGAAGTAATTTTTTAACTAAGGTTTGCCCACAGCTCTTAACAGGTTGCCGGAATTTTATCCTTCTGGAATTTTATCCCCTGAGCAGAGCTGACATTACTATGACGAAGTAACCTTGTTTGCAGGCGAAATTTTACCCGCTGTCCATATAACTAGCGTTTAGGCAACTGAAGATGTACGGCCCAGATTTTTACCCCCTCGTTGCAGTTAGAAATTAGCGAGAATAATTAATTGTATTATTTCAGTTTTGATTGAATAGGCCTAGTAAAAACTTTATTTTCAAGTAGGCCTATCATAATTTATTCGTAACCTCAACTAAGTAAACAGGTTTCACTTTTGAATTTTGAGTAGGCCTATAATAAATTGCCAGAGAAATATTCGAAACAAATTTCATTCATATCGGCTAGGACTCTGTGAGTTTACATAGGCCTACCATGTAAACTCACAAATATGCCTACATATTAAAACCAATAGATTGCCCCAAAAATCAAATCCCCAAACTCTAATCTTAAAATAAAGACGCACAACTGTTTCATTAGTTGAGGTTACATATACAAATTCTTGTAAGTTAGGCTACCTACTTAATAATAAAATACCCCCGCCGCAGCAAACCTGCAGACTTAGCGAATTTCCATTAACCTGATTGGATTTACACTAAAATGCCTCCATAAAAATAGCACATTTATTTCCTATTTAAATAGAATTAGTTTAACGAGTAGGTACTTAGGTTTGCTGCAACAGGGAGGGTAAAAAAGTTTTTTTTTATGTAGAATATTAAAAGGTACTGTGGTTTAGTAAGAAATTATAAGTATTTTCCAACTTTTATCAAAATATGTTCATAAACAACCAAACTACAACAGTTGACTTATTCTCCATAAGAATAACATGGGAATTTTAAAATTACAATTTTTTTGAATTTTCTCCGTAACAATTAGGCGCATAATAACGCTTCAATATACTAAATTATTTGTTTTTTTAAGCTCTACAAAATGGTTTAGAAAGAAATTGTGAAATTTTGTGTTTTTAGGGTCAAAAATGGGAAAAACCTATTTTTACCCCATAAAACCCCCCATAAACCCCCGTTCCCATAGTCCGATCATGCTGGTTCGCGAACTCATTCAAGTTTATCCCGCCTTACACCTTCAAACCAAATTTTATCAAAATCGGACAAAAATTACTCAAGTTATCGTGCGGATGGACACACACACATATATATATATATATATATATATATATATATATATCTCTATATATAGATATATAAAAATTTGAACGAATGGTGTTTTCGGCCTCTGGGGACATCAAAATGAAAAAGTAAATCGGTCCCGGGCTTAGGTCTTACCATGAGACCTACGGTAATAGCTACTTCCCTATAGGGAAATTCGCTAATAAACTAGAAAATATGGTGGCTACGTTTAATTCCACCTTTAATTTACTAAACTGATGTTGTGCAACGCAAAAGGTCGCGGCAGGAATTTTACCCCCTAGGTTGTTACGTCAGTTTCGCTCAGGGGGATAAAATTCCGCTACCCCGGCAAAGTCTTGGCTAAATAATTGTAATTCTTTTTAAATTGAAATAAAAAAATAGTGCTCTGGAAAAGTAAATTTTTTATTTAGGCTATAACATAATGTCAAGCCTAATTAGAAAACTAGTATATCAATGATGAATATTTTTAAACATAATATCAGTAAATTTTCTTAAGCAATATTATTGCTCCTTGTCCTTTAGGGATTCAACAAAGAAGAGTGCATGTTCCTTCTAGACCAGGAGAAGGCACATGTTACCACATTGGATGCGGGAGATGTGTTCATCGGAGGACGATACCACAGCTTGATACCCATCATGCAAGAGGTGAGTCTTCAATTAGTCTGCTGGTATTGAGACTTTAACAAACTAGTTTCATTTTTGTCCTGACAGGTTTTAAGAAGTCTAAGACGTTCAGTGTGGCCAACCTCCAACGGTATGGTCACCTAGGTGCAACATTTTTTTCCACATAATTATAAAATGCAAGTTTTTTTACTAAGGTTTGTTTTTGGTAAAATTAAGTTTGGGAATAATTTACCTCCATTTTCGTATCTGCTTTGATTTGGCAGTGTTTGGCACAACATCTTGTTAACAACAAGTACTGCGCTGAGCCGCGGAGAAATTTCATAGCAGACATTTAATAAAACAAAACAAAACTTATTTTCCCTCTTTACCCCCCTCCCCCTGATGCTCAAAATAGTGTAGGCCTAACTTTTTATTACCATACATTACAAGGACTAGGTCAAAGTTATATGGAACAGTTTCAAGTCTACAGTTAGCTTTCCCTTTGGATGTTGAGGTTTAGGTCTTATTGCACTGTACTGTTATTTATTTGACTTTAGAAAGTTATAGCAATGGAGTTTTCATGATAGCCTACACCTATAATTTTTTTTTATGTCCAAACCATCTATGTTTGTAAACTTTTATTTTATTTTAGGTTTACGAAGGAGGATCTAAGTTTTACTACTCAACAGCTGTTATTAAAAAAGGCACGTTGACAGATGTTTCCAACATAAGGCAAATAAGAGGCAAGAAAGTATGCTTCCCTGGAGTTGGTTCTCTTGCTGGCTGGATCATACCCATACATGAGGTAAGTCTCAGTAGACCTACAAATATCATTAAAATGTTGAGTGCGGGGCAATTCCTGATCGGGTACGGTGCTCGGCCCCCGTACGGTGAGTTCATACCCTATCGGGAACGCTCGGCAATGCCTTTTGTATATATTCGTTTTTGCTCTAGCGTCGGTCGAAAGCGGACCTATACCATGTTAGCGTGTAGTGTGTGACATGCATTTCGTTGTGGTGTAGGTTAGTAGTAAATTTCCCCGTAAAATTCCCGTCTGGCAAGCTTAAAAATCAACTTTTTGTCCCGTCTTTTTCCCTCCATTTGGCAATACAATTCCAATGGGACCGGCTACGTTCCAAGCAGTGTTGCTATCTTTGGGTTTTTAGCGAACTACGTCGACTCTCGTCGTACAGCAGGACATCCCCGCACGTTATTTGCTATTTGTCAGACCGAAATTGGAAAGCCAATCACACGCGGCAATCGGGTTTGTTCGACACTGCGGGCTGTGCCGCACTGGGGATACGCCTGCCATTTGACGTGCCGCAGCAAACGTGTTAAACAATGAGGCCCATATTACACATAGCAACTTTTCTAGACAATTTTAAAAAAGACAATTTAAAATGAAAGAATTTATCTAACCTATTTAGACCCTTTTATGTTATTAAGATATTTTCACTATTTGTGAATGCTTGCAACATTTGCCAATAACAGAACATAAGACATTACAAAGTCCTGTATTTTTCAGATAGCTTAGCTTCCTGTAATTTTAATAAAATCGTTAAAACTACTGTAGGCCTATATTGTATGGCTTTTAGTGGACAGAGTACTCCTTGCCTGATGTGTGGGCTTTTTTTCTCTCAATACATGGACCTATAGCTGAAAAGGGATATCCCGAACCACACAATATAGATTGACACTATTGGTGATTGGTGGGATTTGAAACCGGGTCCTAAAGATAGAATTCCCATTCACCAATCACATAGGCTATTTCAGCCGTGCCTCCATGATGATGACATTTAGTGTTACGACCTAAAATAAAATGCATGATGCCAAATGCTCTGCTAGCTATAGAACATCTGACCTACATTTGATTATGGTTTTTTTTATCTTGTCACATTCAAATGACCCTCTGCACTTGCACTGTTTTAATGGGATTTATTTGTTTATAGGGTCTAAGGAGACTTAAACCCTATAACTTAAAAGCGCACTTACACCAAAGTTGACAATCAAAAGTTTACAACTAAAAGATGTTCTTTAACAAATTTGAGCAATTTGTAGAATATTTTTCTAAGGTGCGGCAAGCTGAGGAGATGCTACTGCCCGATGTCACGTCTGGGGTGTGTAGGGGGGGACAGTTCTCCACTAGTTTTCTACAAGCTGCTTGCGCTAAGCGGGTAGCAACTAATCTTCCTATTTAAGTTGTCAACTTTCTTTGATCCTACTGTCATTCCGCGGGAAACCAAAATTTAGTGGAAGACTTGTCTCTTCACTAGTGGGAGACAATAAAGTTGCTGTATTTTGTAGGAAAAGCAACTTGTGGAAAACTTAGTGGAAGTCTTTGGTGTAACTGCGGCTATTAACATTTTAGACAGTTGATGGTGATTCCTCTGGAAATTTAAGTTTCCTTATAATCAGACTAATATTTTCATGACGAATTATTGCTTTTAAAACAATGTAAATAATGACTGCATAATAGACTACATCCATATCCAGGGTTTAATCCTACATTTTCCTTTTGGAATATTTAAATAGTTGTGTACTTCTTTCAACTGTTCTTTTACCAAATTTCCCTCTAATGGAATACAAAGCTATGACCTTAGGTGGCCCGGCTAGTAACACCTAGACACTGGATCGATTTACATTTCAGTTTCTATGGTCATAGAGGACTAAAAACTGTATTTCTTCATGTAATGTTGTATTATTAATGTTTTAGCTTATGAGAAATGGAGGTCTGGATATAATTGATTGCAACAACCATGTCAAAAACGCTATCAACTTCTTCGGCCCGAGTTGTGCTGTCAATTCGCTCATCGACAAAAACAATCCCATCGGTAATAATAGTTGTTAATGTTGTTATATTCCACATTTTAATTAACCTTTAATTTAGGCTATGTAAAGTTTTTCCATTTATAATTAACACGTTGAGTGCTGATGACGGGAATTCCCGCTATTGCTTAGCATTGAAATAAATGCAACTTTCATGTTTAAACATGTCCTCCGCACTAATAATGTTAAAGGAATTGTCATGGGATCTTACAAGAAGACTCAAATACTTGTTTGGTCATTTGTTTTGCGTTACTTTTGAGTGTGCTCATGTAGACTCAATTTTTTTTCCTACGCTAGTAGCATTTAAAATTAAATTCAAAGTTAGATTAAACGCTTTAGGGAGAAAGCGGTCCAACCAAACAATTGGACCCGTCCCTCTTACACCTAAGACGCTAACCACTAGGCCAGCCACTCACCCCTTTAATGTTATAGGATTACTTAACTTAGCCTTTTGCTTTATTTATATAGTATTTGCCTTACTCTTTCATTACAATCAGAGGAAAGTACGACATTATGACTTGAAACACAATAGAAGTATTTTTGCAGGGGATAACTCTGACAAGCTCTGTAGGCTGTGTATCGGCAGAGTGCCAGGGGAGAGATGTACGCCCGCTGATCCCTACGCTGGCTTCGAAGGTGCCTTCAAGTGTCTAGTGGAGGTGGGGGAGATCGCCTTCTTGAAACACACAACTGTCATGGAAATGACGGCAAACAATCTGAACTTTGGTAAGAGGTTGTCAAAGGCTCGTTATGATTGACCCTCCATATTCTGATGTATAGTCTAGTAGTGTACTTTAGGTTATTCAATCAGGGGTGTGCGAATCCATAAATTTTGGTTCGAAATCCAAATTATAACCGTACAGATTTTATCGAATCCGAATATTTTAATAAATCCCGAGTCGAATCTGGGTCGAATCCGAATCTCAAATTTACAGCCGTTATCGAACACGGATCGAATGCTGGACCAAATATTTCAAATCAAAATCAGATAATGAAAATTATATTGAATCGGAATGTGTTAAATTTGAATATCGAATCCCGACTCGGATCTATTTCAAGGAAATTTGAATATCGATTCCGAATCTGAATCCATTTAGAAACAGTAGATTCGTTCTTGAATCCAAATCGAATCTCTAAAAAGATTCAGATTCTATATGTTTTTTGAACTATTCGCACAGCCTTGAATTCATGAATTGTCTATCAGCTTATGTATAGAATTTGTGGTTAGTTGTGCAAGAGTCTTGTGTCTTTCCATTCACATTGTCCATCCAGATTCCCATATCCTTGCAGTGAATAGTTTGTAGGCCTAGTGATTAATGGGAAAATTAATTTTAGGTATATGAAGGAAAAATTAAATCTAAAATTCTTTATATTAGCCGGCAAAGTTAAAGCCACATGGTCCTTTCTTACTTTAATCTGACCTTTACTTTAATATTACTGTGCGTTGTTAGAATATTCATCAATTGAACTTGATTGCATCAAGACATTTTTTAGCTTTAAACATGTGCAATACAGGTACGCAAACTGAATTTAAATATGGGTTATATAATCATATAGGCCTTTGAAATTCAGCTGTACACAAGAGAGTCAATAAGCTAAAACAAATATTTTTTCAATCAATAATCTATATTTGTGAAATGTGCCCCCTTAGTCCAGGAGTACAAAATAAATCCTCATGGACCTCATGAGTTAACATTTCTTAGCTAATAGATAAATTAAATTGTTCTCACATTTTTGGTAATCCAACATTTTTGGTAATTCTAAACCTTTCCAGTTCCAAAAATGTGAGATTATTGAAAATCAACCATAGTTTTGTCTTAATGTCTCTAACTCCAAATGTAGTCTTAAAATTAAATTGTCTTATTAGGGAGGTTTCATTTAAACCTTACAAGAGTTTTAGACGTTTCATGAAGATGTATTTTACAAAAAAAAAGGGTGCTGGCCTTCAATAGTAAATTTTCTAAAACCATATCATCCTTGAATTTTAACGTTTATGTAGCATATATTTATGGGAACTAAACAACATGAAATACAAAACAGTGCAATACTGACTCCATATGCCAATGTTTCTTATCTGTCAAGATTCTTATTTGTACATTTTTTTTAAATAGTTTTCTAGCAGATTTTACTAATGTTGGTGATGTCACTGATTCCTGGGAATTTTAAGGCAATGTTGTTGTTGGGAGGGGTACTGAAGAGTTTTGCCTACTTGTTGGCCTCTTTTCCTGACAAACCTCTAGAACCTCTTTTATAATTTAACTTCAACTCCAGCCCACTAGGGAGATCAAAGTGCTATGATAACCTGTAATGCTATCTGTTTCTGGATATTCCTATGTAAAAATTAAATGTCTTTTTTATACAAATTAAGAAAGAGTGAATATTATCTATTGTTTAAAAAAAAGCTTACTTATATCATATAATTTTTGGTTTACTATTCAGTTTCATCCAATAGCTGTTGACACTTTATTCTTGTCTAGTCGTCTACTCATTGTGACACTAAGAAAACTCTCAAGTGGTTTGTTGTGACCATACTGCATCATGTTTGACACATTTATGCTTCAGTGGGACAAACAAAGGACAATTTCGAGCTGCTGTGTAAAGACGGTAGCCGGCATCCTGTTGATGACTTCAAGAACTGCAACTGGGGCACAGTGCCAAGCCACGCAGTGGTCACCACTTCAGCCAAGAGCAACAAGCAACGGACACGCTACCAGAAGTTCTTAATTGTGAGCGGACGAGTACTATCCCCTTAGTTTCAGTAACGGGGTTTTCTGAGTCTGTTGGATCCAACAGGGTTGGTACGGTCAGGGAAAACCTGGAAATGTCAGGGAATTTTGTTGGTCTGGAAAAGTCAGGGAATTTTGGAAAAAATCTGGAATTTCTCTTGAAAGACTACATTTTTTACAGATATGCTACATTTTGCATCTACGTCTCAATACTTGGTCAAAAACATCGATGTTTGACGAAAACAACAAAAACATCGGGAACCTACCATCGATATAAAAAACATCGAACATCAACAGACATTCTATCATCACCCTCTGATTACTGGCTTTAATTGAACGCACCGAGCTCCCAGTGTTTCTACACGACCAAAAGAACATAATCCCGGTCACTGGGTTAAGAAATCCCGTTTAATCCCTTAAGATTTTTGATGTTAAATTCTGAGTGTTAAATTAGACATATTGTTTTTAAATAGTTGTTTTAACATTGCTATTATATTTTGTTAAGGTAATTTTTTCGATTGAGGCTAGTTTTTCACTAAAATAAAGCATAGTAAATAAAAACGGACGTCATAGCCAAAACTCCTGTTTTATCCCACATCCCCTTCAAATCCCGCTCATGCTCTAAAAATCCTGTTTTCGGGATAATAATCCCACGTATGGAAACACTGCTAGTACCGCGATGCGCGGAAGGATAGGCCTACATTCATCGTTTCAATTTCAATACGATACTGAATACAATTCCTCATTGAATTTATACCAATACTGATTCAACCTTTAATAAACTAAAAAAAACTGCACTTAGAGGAGTTAATAAAAAAATTTATCCTGTTAGTTGAAACATTTAATAGTTTAGTTTGGTAGGTACTACTTTTTGTCTCTGGTACAACATGGTGGTAGTTATTTTTCCAATATCACATGTTTCTTCCGATATAAGCCTATGATATCGCAAACAAAAAATAGCGATATATATCAGTATCAGAAGCACCGTATCGTCTATCTGCTAGTGTCAAGTCAAGGCCAAGTAGAACATAAAGTGTGAGGTTAAGTTAGTTGGTACTCTTAATTTTCCAGATTCCAGATGTTTAATTCTTTTCTTATTGGTTTTATGAGAAAACTATTTAGGCCTACATTTTTCTAATAATACTTGATTCTGACTATTCAATATCGTCTTACGGTATACCTGGAAAAAGTATAGTATCAATCTGGAAAACCTGGAAAAGTCAGGGAATTTCATATTCCAAAATCAGTACCAACCCTGTCCAAGTGATGGTTACAATTCTGCTAGTTAATTCCACATAAAAACCGACAGATGATCCATTATCTGGTGTAAATCGGCCAAAACAAGGTCACAAGACACAGAAAACAATTAAAAACCATTGGAAATATTTTTTTAATCATTAAATCAATAAAGTTTGTCAATTTTCAATTTTGAACCAATTCTTAAGAAATACTACACAACATCACAGATCATTTTTTTTAAATCTTCATGTGACAGTACTATTCCAGATAAAAACCGATTATCATGTTAAACCAGCTTGCTTTTTCTTCTTTTTTTAAGAGTCGATCTTCTGATCTCTTTATTTTTAATTTTATTCCACTTTGATTTGTTGCTATTAAAATCCTATTTCCACATATTTTATTCTGTTACATTCTTTTTCCCGTACAACCCATACTTGCGCCTTTTGAATAATTATCGAATAACTATCAACTATCACTATGAAAAATAACTGTTGTGCTCTACTTGTTTGCCCTTATTGTTAGCTCCCTTTCTCATAGTATGTGCTTCTCACTTTTGTAGAACTCCGCATATTTTCCCAGTCCATCCAAAATTAAATGTTATTTATTAATTTGTGTAAAAACGTTTTCAATAACAAGTTTTGCTATATACGTTGGACTCAACTTAATAAATGGTAAGCCTACTGGACTAATGAAACAAATTAACTTAACACCCAAGCTGTGACATATGACATCTCAATTAAATATAAATCTTCAGTTGTGTCTTCATCTGATTGTTGTCTAAATGTTAAACATATAGTTTCATCAATATTGTGATTATCTGTCTTGTTAACAGAAAGCAGTGCGTAACTTTGGAGGTGCTTTTAACTTGACATTGGCTACCAGCACAACTGAGAGACCCGGACCAGACTATTACAGCCCCAAGAACAACCAGGGCAGAGACAGCGACCAAAACTACAGAGATGGTAACATCAACAATCAACCGTGGGAAACCAACAACAACCCTCCATGGAACAACCAGCAAAACAACCTGCAACTGCGTCAGTTCCACATGTTTGAGTCTGCACCTAGATACGGATTGAAACATAACCTTATGTTTTTGGTGAGTTTCACAATACATTGGGTCATTTGAAATTAATTATATGTGTAGGAGTTAGTCCAACAAAATATTTTTCAATTTGATTGATGATTGCGTTTGAGTTGATTTGGAGACAAAAAAGAGCTCAACTGAATCACCTACATCTGTCTCAGGCAGTTGGCGGTAATACCTTACATGTTATCGATTTCTTTGTTGTGCCCCCTAATGTTGGTACTTCTATAGGAGATGAAGCAAATTCAATTCAATTCGTTTATGAACAGATTAAACCAGTTTACAATATAAAGATTTAAATTAGTACAAGGATTAAACAATTGAAAAGATATCAGGTATACATTTAGCAGCAAGCAGGTACATTATAAACTAGGTGGCGTTCGCAGAGGCATCCACAAAATTGAGCGGAGTCATTAAGGGTTCATATTATCATTGACTATACATTGTTTTGTCATACTGCAGTAAAAACAGTTGTTTTTAATGCATGCGTTGCGGGTCTAAAGTAGCATTTTTACTCTTTAGGGAGTAAAAATCGTTTTTAGCCTCTATGGAGTAAAAATCAGCTGTTGTCAACTCAGTTGTAAATTTCTATTGTAAACGATTCCATGTATCGAAATATGTATCGATTCGTGCTTCGTAATCATTTTAGTCTACAGTCCCTTCCCATAGCATATTAACATTGCAGATACATTAATCCATTCCCGCACTCAACACTGCTCACCTTTACTACTTACTTCACCTCCTCCTACGTCGTGGGGCCTGTTTCCTTCCCTTCTCATAGCATTTTAGGATTGAAGATACATTAATCTAACTGCTACAAGGTTAGGCTGGAATTAAGGTTTCCAGTTCCCCCACTCCAAACTGCTCACCTTACTACTTCCTTCACCTCTTCTTACGTCGCGGACCTGTTTCCCTCTCTTACCATTGAATATTAAGATTGTAGATACCTTAATCGAATCATCATAAACAGTTCCTACACTCCGGACAGCTCACCTTGACTACTTCCTTCACCACTTCCTACGACTCAGACCAATTTCCTGTTTCCCTCTCTTCCCTTAGCATTATTGGATTGCAAATACCTTAATCTATTGGTCATAAACAGATCCCACACTCCGAACAACTCGCTACTACTACTACTTCCTTCACCACTTCCTACGTCACCGACCTGATTCCCTTCCTTTCCATAGCATTTTAGGATTGCATATACCATATTAGTCTAATCATCATAAACAGGTCCCACACTCCGGACAGCTCACATTTACTAATTCCTTCACCACTTCCTACGTCACGGACCTGTTTCCCTCTCTTCCCTTAACATTATTGGATTGAAAATACCTTAATCTATTGGTCATGAACAGATCCCATACTCCGGACAACTCGCCTTTACTGCTTCCTTCACCTTTTCCTACGTCACGGACCTGTTTTCCTCCCTTCCCAAAGCATTTTAGGTTTGTAGATACATTAATCTAATCGTCATAAACAGTTTCCACACTCCAGACAGCTCGCATTGACTACTCCCTTCAGCATTTCCTACGTCACGGACCTGTTTTCCTCCCTTCCCATAGCGTTTTAGGATTGCAAATACCTTAATCAAATGGTCATAAACAGATCCCAATCCCCCAGAACAGCTCACCTTTACTACTTCCTTCACCACTTCCTACGTCACTGACCTCGAGCTAGTGTCGTCATTTGATTATATTTATGATCCATACCACCGTTTATGTTCTAATATCTGTGGAACAATGCTATCAACTATTTCTTTATCTACTGCATTCAAAAGTCAATAGCTGATCATATGTCTTTGTTTATTTGTCAAATACTGCTTCCATAAGGATTACATTGAAACTTTGAGACCCAGTGGGGCGGATTCCTGAGAGACTTTTTTAACGCCATATAGATGTTGGCACTCACCGATATGGTCTTTGTCACCATGCAAGATTTGAAAACGATTGATTCAGCCCTCTAGGAGGAGTTTGCGTATTACAAAATGCATAAGAGTCGACGTATAAGAGCTCGCTCCGCTCAACAAACAACTTTGACAATTCCAGTATTTACAATCTCAAAATACAAATCTGAGCAACATAAATAGAGTGAAATCATAGACAAAAAGAATTAAATATAGATTGACAAAAGTTCTGCGGTTAGAAAGAAAAGTTCTGGCGTCCACCGCTAGGAGTGCCATGTAGTTACAGCACACACCGCTGCAGCATCTGCTGGTATCATATGGTGAGGAGTCTGACGACGACAGAGAATCGAACACTGAGCACGCTAGTGGCACATCGCAGAACCTTCCTTTGACAGTCTTTATTCTATTTGTCTATGGTGGTACAAAAGGAAAAAAAGAACAAAAGTGCCTAAATGAGTTAAATCTATTACTTGACTTTACAATGAAGCAAAACAAAAAATCAGTTGGCATTATTAAGACAAAGTGACATGACTAGCAATGATAACAATAAAACAGTGGTGACTTTTAAAATATTAAAGTTGTAACAAATGTGAAAAAATAATCTTTGGATAGCGATAACGAATGTAAACTGAAATGAATGTATCTGTGTCAGGACTCGGCTGTGGAGCTGCGAGCTCTGGAGGAGAGTAAGCAGACTTACTCTGGATATCTGAGTGGCAACCTGGACATCATCCTGGGAGTGAGGCAGTGTCCTGTCAACTCCTTGACTCTGTGTGTCACATCGGACCCGGAGCATGAGAAGTGCATCAAGATGAGGGTGAGTCACTTTACTAAATAGAACCATGTTATCTCTTTGGAGAGTTTAGGAACTATATAATTATTTTACCACTAGTTTGAAGTCTCTCTAGTGGATAGGGTTTATAAACTTTATAAGCTTCTAATTGCTCTTTTCCAAAATTTGAACTGTACATTGTAATCAAGTACAGTTGCTCGGTCTTGTTTTCTTAAGGGGTGTTACCTAACCTGTCAATGCTCTTTGGCTTTTTAATAAACGATCCTGGCAATAGAGCCGGCTGTTCTTGGTCAGTAACAAAGCGGTTATCTTGTTTATTCAATACTCATTGTTCACTCATTTTCATATAAAAATACGCACTGATGTATCAATACTGGACAAATACCTAGAAATCTCCAACCACTTCCTCTTTCTTTTTTTCTTTTTCTTTTTCTTTTTGTTCTTATAGATGCAGCTTGACTTGAATTTTAACTGTTCCCTTCATAGACATTTATTTATAATAGTTAGAGGCCAGTAGATGTTAATAATTAATAATTTGGCAAAGACATCTACAACTGTTTAGATATTTGTCCAGTTATTATATGACAACTTAACTACTAACAAGTATTGAAAAGAAAACAAATTCATTTGCTAAATTTGCTGGATGACAATGTAATCTTAAATCGACTTGTCCAATAATTATTGTACATCTAGGCTATAATAAAAGCTTGAAACATTGAAAGAATTTGAAGAAATGAATTGTTCACCAAGCATCACCAGTTGAAGCCAAGCATAAGTGCTTATTGTGTGATTTTTTTGGGTTACAGACGGCTCTAAAAGCCCAGTTGCTGAAGCCGGAGATGGTTTGCCACAAGGCACACAGTCAAATCAACTGTATGCAGGCTATAAAGAACGGGTAAGTTACGACAATACTCACCCCTTTCAATGCTGAGTTATTACAGTAAGACCACTCTATGCACATTTTGTAGGTGTAATTCTAGCTTTAAATAACAAAAAAGTAATAATCCAATTTTACCATAAGTAAAACAAATTCTCCCATGGATTTTTTAATCCTGGAACTCTTAAAGACAATTTTGAGAAAAGTGACTGTCCTATTTTCAACCAAATAAAACTATCCAGTTATTAGCTTTTTAGTAACTACTGCACAGATGTTATTAAACCTAGATCTGGCGGTCATTTTATTCACCAGTGGGGGGTATATTTTGGCCCTTTTGTAGTTGTACCATATATTTAGCCACAGAACATTTGTTTGTGAATATAAGTACACACATATATAAATTTTCTGTTTCAGTAATGAATGTAGAATATAATAATATAAAAATAATTTTTCTAGGGATGGACGGGATTGAATTTTTAGTTCGGGACGGGACGGGACGGGATTTTTATTTCCTTCCCGATTTTCGGGACGGGACGGGACGGGATTTTTTTCTGTGCATAAAAAGAAAATCTTGAGTATTGCAGTTACCAAAAAAGACATACAAAATCAACAAAAATAAAAAAAACAAAAAACAATGGGTAATAATTTACAGGTATAGAAACTTACCTATAGAAACTTTTATTTATTTACTTATAGAAACTTGTGACTCGCAGTCGAAATGACTGATCGTCGGTATGACTCGCAGTCACGGCATGATCGTCGGTATGACTCACGGTCACGGGATGATTGTCGGTATGACTCCGCGATCGTCGGTATGACTCGCAGTCACGGCATTATCGTCGGTATGACTCGCGATCACGGCACGATCGTCGGTATGACTTCGCGGTCACAGGGTGATCGTCGATATGACACGCGGTCACGGCATGATCTTCGGTATAACTCGCGATCCCGGCACCATCGTCGGCATGACTCCGCAGTCACGGCGCGATCGTTGCTAGGACTCGCGGTCACGGCATGATCGTCGGTATGACTCGCGATCACGGCACGATCGTCGGCATGACTGCGCGGTCACGGCGCGATCGTCGGTATGACTCCGCGGTCACGGGGTGATCGTCGGTATGACTCCGCGGTCTCGGGGTGATCGTCGGCATGACTGGCGGTCACGGCATGATCGTCGGTATGACTCGCGATCACGGCACGATCGTCGGCATGACTCCGCGGTCACGGCGCGATCGTTGCTAGGACTCCGCGGTCACGGCTCGATCATCGGTATGACTCCGCGATCACGGCACGATCGTCGGTATGACTTCGCGGTCACAGGGTGATCGTCGATATGACTCGCGGTCACGGCATGATCTTCGGTACAACTCGCGATCCCGGCACGATCGTCGGCATGACTCCGCGGTCACGGCGCGATCGTTGCTAGGACTCGCGGTCACGGCATGATCGTCGGTATGACTCGCGATCACGGCACGATCGTCGGCATGACTTCGCGGTCACGGCGCGATCGTCGTTATGACTGCGCGGTCACGGGGTGATCGTCGGTATGACTCCGCGGTCTCGGGGTGATCGTCGGCATGACTCGCGGTCACGGCATGATCGTCGGTATGACTCGCGATCACGGCACGATCGTCGGCATGACTCCGCGGTCACGGCGCGATCGTTGCTAGGACTCCGCGGTCACGGCTCGATTATCGGTATGACTCTGCGGTCACGGTGTGATCGTCGGAATGACTCGCGGTCACGGCATGATCGTCGGTATGACTCGCGATCACGGCACGATCGTCGGCATGACTCCGCGGTCACGGCGCGATCATCGGTATCACTCCGCGGTCACGGGGTGATCGTCGTAATGACTCGCGGTCACGGCATGATCGTCGGTATGACTCGCGATCACGGCGCGGTCGTCGGCATGACTCCGCGGTCACGGCGCGATCGTTGCTAGGACTCCGCGGTCACGGCGCGATCGTTGCTAGGACTCCGCGGTCACGGCTCGATCATCGGTATGAATCCGCGGTCACGGCTCGATCATCGGTATGAATCCGCGGTCATGGTGCGATCGTCGGTCCATGAATCGCTGTCACGACGCGATCGTCGTTATGACTGCGCGGTCACGGCGTGACTGTCGGTATGACTCCGCGGTCATAGCGCGATCGTCATTGTGACTCGCGGTCACGGTGCAATCGTCGGTCCAATAATCACGGTCACGGCGCGATCGTCGTTATGATTCCGCGGTCACGGCACGATCGCCAAAATGTCTTCGTCTCCGGTGTTCGGGGACCTATCGCTCGCAATAGCGGCGTTATCGGCACTCGCGACGCGGCAAAATCGCCGACGATCGGACCAAATCCCGTCCCGAAAAATTCCCGAATCAAATGTAATCCCGTCCCGATAATCGGGAATATTTTTTTCCCGAAAAATTCCCGAAATTTCGGGACCCGTCCATCCCTAAATTTTTCCCTAGCAATGCGTTTAGGAGTTGTAGCAAAAGGTTTGCAAATTTTTGGATTATGCAAATTATAAATTTCAAAAGCAACCCACAAGAAAACCACAAAATAATTTGTTTACACATTTTATCTAAAAGTAAAGGTTGTGTGAAATATGATTTTCTATGTAGAAATATCAACGTTTTTTAAATACTCATAAAAATAAAATTGTAAAAAAATAAATTCAACATACATATTTTCTTTTCTGAAAAACTACCAAATTTTTTTGTCATGTAGGAAATAATAGAATGCATCAACAGAAAATAAAAAGATACTGTACAACAGGAAATAAAAGATCTTTCTTAAAATATATAGTTATATGTAGGCCTAGTTGAATTATAACATTTCTGAGTAATTTACGTCGGAATGTAAAATATTGAAGATTTTTTTACGAAAACATAATTTTTATGACATTTTTAAAACCAAATAAGTTTTTTACAATCAACCTCATGGATTCAGAGTTCAGATCAAAGTTTCACTTTAAGTCCTAGTGGTGAAACTACTGCTTTTTTTATCAAAAACTGTCTTAATCAACTGATATTTTTCATAAAAATTAGGCAATCCTCAATACATTTATTTTATACATTTTGGCAAATACACTTACCTTTTTAACTTGTGTATTGTTTCAGTAATGCTGATGTAGCAGTGTTCGATGCTGGTGATGTCTACACAGCTGGTCTGAACTATGATCTGATACCATTCATGGCGGAGATTTACAACCTAGGATCTCCCGACTATTATGTAGTGGCCGTTGCTAAAGAAGAAGATGCATCTACGGAGATCACATATCTCAAAGGTAATTATTTGTATGTAATAACATTATGTACACCTTTCATAGTGGTGTCAAATTATAGGTACTTATTTACAAACAGCACATAAATTGAGCAGAACTTAGACAATAAAATAGGAAATAGGAATGTTTCGGTGATTGCAAATCTCAAATTCCGCTTGGAAGTATTGGTAATGATAATGATTGGAATGAATCTCGAGGTAGTTGAATATATATGAAATTTGTATCAGTTACAGACATCTTGAGCTACAAGGGTTGATTTAAGAATACTCATGGAGTCTGCTGGTTACTGAAGTAGTAGAAGTTGTTTTAAAGTTACTCATTTTATTTTGATTAAATAAATATATAGGATGGAGAGGACACAGCTAACTCACCTGATGAAAGGTTGCAGACAAGTCAAAGAACACATAAAACACACACATAATAATACTTGATATTTCGCCTCTTTCAGAGGCTTCTTCAGAAGTAGGCCTAGATGGCAGTTACAAGAACAACAGTTTAAAATAGGATGACATATTGTAGATAAACACTAAAAGACATGTTGAGCTACAAGTTTTGATTTAAGACTACTCAAGGAGTCTGCTGGCTTGGCTACTGATGTGGTTGAAGTTGCTTTAAAGTTACTCATTTTATTTTGAAGGAGTTTTGTTGGTTTTTTTAAGGATCAGTTGAGCTAGTTAACTCAAAAGAGTCCAGATATAGGTAGATAAACACTAAAGGCATGTTGAAATACAAGTTTTGATCTAAGACTACTCAAGGGGTCTGCTGGTTACTGAAGTGGTAGAAGTCGCTTTAAAGTTACTAATTTTATTTTGAAGAAATTTTGTTGGGTTTTTTTCAGGGATCAGTTGAGCTACTTAACTCGGAAAAATTAGAGTCCAGATATTGTAGATAAACACTATAGGGCCAAAACATAGCACTCTATACCCGTCGTGTTGTGTGTAACAGAAGTAGGCTAGTTTGTTACCACACAATTCGGGTTTGACATTATAAAACAGTACAATTTTTAATTTTATACATTATAACACCAGCTTAAAATGTATGACAATTATTTATTTTGGCACCTATTGGTAATTAGTTATTTAAATTCTTGTTTGTAGGCAAGAACACCTGTCACACTGGTATCAACACGGCGGCTGGCTGGATTGTCCCGATGGCCTACCTGCTGTCCAACAACTGGATGCGGAGCTACGGCTGTGACTCTGTGCGAGCGGCCGCCGAGTGGTTCAGCAAGAGCTGTGTGCCCGGCGCACTCAGCACCGAGTACAACACCGGCGTGCCTTACGAGAACATGTGTCACTTGTGTCACGGCGCCAGCTTCCGAGATTGCAGGAGAGACCATAGCGAAGATTACTACGGCTACACAGGTGCGTAAGTTTGAAGTGAAATGGCTGAGGTGTCTTTGGAGAATAGACAGGTTGTTAGCTGAGAAATATATTTCTTTTGTATTATGGGCATGTTACATAAGAATATTTTAAAGATTTGATAAATATCATTAGGTCTACCTTTTGTGGCTAAAGTGAATCCAAAAGAAATATTACAACTACAAAATATAAGTTTTAAATGTTACATTGAAGTACCGGTATACAATCATTTGTATGTTGACGCCTAAGTCCTGTTGTAAAGTTACAGGTGTATCTGTGCAGTATGTTACTAATATACAGTAGACTCCCTCTTATCCAGACGCCTTTTAACCGGACATCGGTTTAACCGGACTACACTCCACGGAAATGACATCTCTTTAACCGGACATCTTTTATCAGCACATTGGTTTAACCAGACTAAATCATCAGGAAGTGGGCGGTACTGAAACGACTGTTTTCGTGGGAAAGATTTGAGACCAGTGATCACATGTCTAAATACAATGCTCTCCTAAATTTAAGTTGAATAACACCGAAAACGGTCCGTTTAAACGAGTTTTTGGGGATGTCGGCTTAACCGGAAAAACCGTTATCTGGGGACTGGCCTTGGTCCCGAGGAGTCCGGATAAGAGGGGTTCTACTGTAGTTAAATTTAAAATGCTCAGATACCTCTATTAAATATCGTTTTAAGGATTTTTGTCAAGGTAGCTTTCTTACCTGAATGGTGAGTCTACTCTTACACACAAAAATTTACTCCATACCTAAAAACTAGAATAGGGCCTATGTTTTAGTAATTTTGGTACCCATTCGGGTAAGCCTGTCTTAACAAAAACCCTTAAAACCCTGAAACACGAGGTTTCATCCTCAATTCTAAAAACTATTTCATATTCGTTGTTTTTGAATAATTCGCCAATCTTGGAAATAGTTAGCTATCACCAAAATTAAAGAAACATAGGTAAGCAAAAATTGTTAATAGTGAATGTTGTGTCTCCACAGGAGCCCTGCGTTGTCTGGTGGAAGGCGGAGGCGATGTTGCCTTTGTGAAGCACACCACAGTCCTGGAGAACACGGACGGCAAGAGGAAGGAGTGGTGGGCTCGTAATGCTCTCAATGAGGACTTTGAACTCCTCTGTCCTGACGGTAAGGCTTTCCTTCCATCTCTAGTAAAATACTACAGTTAGATATTCAAGACTGTATTGTAACAAACAAAATTTATTATAGCCAATCCAATAAACTAGGTAACTTAAATGAAAAGAAAGCCAACTGGGTAACAGATTTGTTATAGAGCTGAGGTAATTTAATAGTTTTTCGGTTTGTTCAACTTAACCAATCTGCTGGCTAAAGCTACTTTTCAGTACATGACTAAGAAAAGTTAATATATTTCCCTAACGTTTCATACACAATCCCTACAAGACTTGTTTTAACATCTTTATTGTTAAATTTGGACTTAAAATAAGACTGACAAAGCGTCAAACTTTACTAATTTATTTCCTTTGTTTCGATCAGACTTGACATTTAGTATGCCTAATAGTTTTGTCAATTTTTGTCAATTTGTTTTGAGATAAATAAATGAATGTTTAAAGCTAAATAACCTGTTAACCAAAATTTAAATTTTATAAAGATAGCAGTGTCTCCTAGATTTAGCCACCTTGAATAATATTGGTAAAACAACAGGAAAACTTTCAACTATGTTTAAATACTTGAATGGGCTAGTCATTTACATTGGTTTGGAAGAGTAACTCATGTGTTAATGTTTTTGTCTAACACTCATAAACTAAACTTCGTAAAATCTGACTGAGGTGGGTATAAGCTTAGTAACCACCAGCTTAGTGAATACATGTTAATAGCCGTCACACTGTAAGTTAATTTAAACGTTATTTATAGGTTTTAAATGAGTATGATTCTTTGTCAATAGGCACTCGAGCTTTAATGAGTGAATACAAGAGATGTAACCTGGGCAAGGCTAAAGCCAATGCTCTTGTGGCACGAGGAGGTGAGGGCTATAATCAGACAGAACTGCAGGCCTACATCAACCTCTTTATTTACGCTCAACAGTTCTACGGCCGGAAGGACCCAGATGACTTCAGGTTGGTAATGTAGCTTAAAGCCTAGATCGGACGACACTAGTACTGAATACACAGACCTACATACATGTGCACAACAAGTGAACAATTGCATTTGAGAAATTTACCACAATCTCTAATTTTGTCTTTGTTGTTTACAGTTTCAGCATGTTCTACTCCCCTCCACCCTACGCCGACCTGATATTCCAAGACGCAGCACAACAGTTAGCTGTTCTAAAGCCCGAGGAGCGTTGGTACTCGACCTACCTTGGCAAAGACTTCATGCGCGCACGCCGTCTCGTCGACTGTCATGCAGGCACTGAAACGCAAGTGGCTTCCTTCGCGCTGACGATGACTTGTACGTTCATCACAGCAGTTTTGGCTGTAGTCATCGGGCGTTTCTAGCCTCCACTTGCCACATACTGGCTGGACCAGTTGTTAGGCTTATGATGACACACAGTAAACTAGGGGTGAACAAGTACAGTAGAACTCCAACCATTTGGATCATCTCGAGGAGACAAAACTAATAATATTGGCAAAAAAGTTCATTGCAATTTTAGCAGCTTAGAGTAATTCGTTACATGTTTGAACGTGTGTCAATTGCATTCATTATGCTACGAGACTGTTTAAGTGTTGTATTTATCCGTAGGCAATTACTGCCTAGTGTCACTGTCTTCTGCTATTTAATTTAAAATTTGGGTTTTTGATGATCCAAAAGATATTATACGTTCCCAATTGATAGTTAGAGTTCTATTGTAATTGAGTTTTTAAAATGTTAGTAAAATGTTTGCACCTCAAAATAGTCAATGTTTGTTAAACATTTTCTAATATTTTTATTTTTTTTACTGTTTGAAAAATTTACATGTTTTTATATTAGTGGTGCAAAATTATTATTTTCTTACATTCAAGCACTTTCAGCATGCTGATCTCAACTAACAATTCCAATTTACTCTAAGTTCTTTCGTCATTACTCTCTCCTTGTGGGTTATAATGTAATACATTAAGTGTGATTCTGCAGTCAAGCGTTCCTTACAGACTTTGTCAGCAAATCTCTTAGTATTCTTGATTTTTTAATTTAAAATTTAATTTTCAATTGTACAGAAAAGAGTTTAGTTGACCTAGTAGTTAGAATGTGTGACTTTTGTCATAAAGGATTGGTTTCTAAGCTTTGTCAACCAGTTTTCCATGTTAAAAGGTTAGGACTTAATATTTTGAAGCATATCTTAAGCTTTAGTTTTACCTTTGACTAAAAGTCAATGGTTTTACCAATCTAGAACATGATTCTAAAATTTTGGTTGGTTTTCAGAATTTTTAGTTGCAAAACCTTGCAAGAAACCAATCTTAGAAAATAAATAGTCCAAATATGTTGTAAGAACAATGGACAAAGTGTGTACAATATGAACAACATGTAATATTTGAAAGCAGGAACAAATTTTCATTAACTTTTATATTTATTATTTTTTGTAAGGCAATTAATTAGGCATGCTTAAAATGTTGCGGCTTGCATAACTGACATAAAACAGTTGTGATAGTTTTTTTTTTTTACTAGAATTAAAATTAACCAATTTGTTACCAAATTTAATCAGATGTCTTTATGGAGTTTACTTAATGGGTCGCTATAGTAAATGGGCTCAGGGGTGCAAGTGGTTTTAGGTTTGTTGGGAGTGCGAGGATGGGAAAAATCCCCCCTAAGATTGGGAGAGGGGCCTAATTATCTCTCGGGCCCATGGGCCCGTGTAATAGTACACATGAAAATCGCAGCCCTGTGATTCCATCTAGAAATTCTGCTTAAAAAACCTAAATTTTTTACATTGTTGCAGCTATTTATTCATAGATTCAATCTTATTCATAACAGTAATGCAAATTTAATAAAATCACTACCGTTCTTATATTAAAATCAAATAAAGTACAACCATTTTAGTGCAATTTTATCACTTTGGGTAGCTTTCCAACATAAATAAAACTACCTACTTTGTGCCTTAAAAGTTAAGTTTTTTGTTAGGAAATGTTGTTTCAAGGCAATATAGTTTATAAGAACAAATTTTGTGCACAATATAGTTTTGTACTGTAGTATGTATAGAAATGTATTATTATAAATTTAATTTAAGACTTTTTCAATGTTTTGTAAAAATAAACTACTTGTTATTTAGCAATTTCCATATTATAGATTAAACTTCTCTAGGATAAAGTCTTTAAATTATTCCACCAGTTTCCATTAGTATTTTAAATTGTATTGTAAGATTTTTTGAAACTTTTGTTAAAATCATTTTATCTTTGTGGTTTTATTCCATCCATTCATTGTGATATAATATTGTATGGTATTAACTAAAACAAATTTATCAAAGGAATGCAGATCTGAGATTTTTAGTTTTTATGTATTCTTTTACTGTTTTTATTGTTTTATACTTAGCTATTTCCGTCCATATGTCTATAGATTATATTTTAGTAACTTTTACCTGGAAAGTTGTATAGTTGAATTATTTGTTATATGTATTTTGTATCACTTCACAGCTTGAATTAATTATGTTATATTAAAATTGTAAAAAACTTAAAATAAAATATTTTATATTACTTTCTATTATTTGAATTTTAACCAATATTCTTAACAATCTTAACCTATCCATTTTAAACCAAAAGTAGCAATACTACAGTAGAACCTCAATTAACCGGGAGTAGATCAAGTGCAGATCATATCATGTTTAACACGTTCTCTACCACAATAGTATTAAATTTTTCATTCATATATAGACCTGCGACTGCCGGTTTCCACCCATAGACTGACATCGCATATTTGTGTCGGTGTCCATTGTTATTAAAAAGATTATATCTTGATAACGGTCTATTTGAAGCGAGAGAGAGAGAGATTGAAAAACGTTTAATCAAAATCAATAAGTTAATGTTTTGTTATAATAGGTAAGATTGTGTTGTGCCTGTACTTCAGATAATAAAATTTCTCCAGTTCATAAATTCTTTAACAGTATAGAAGGGACGTTGGGACAGCCACTGCTTCAGGTGAGATTTACTTGGTTGGGACACAGAGACTGAGGCCCTGAATTTTCTGCAGTGGTCTACAGGGATGTTTGTCGCATGTGTGCCTCACTTGGTCTTTGGATATGATCATTAGTGACTCATATGATAGTTGGCAAAACTGTTTTTTACTTTGCTTCATCACTGGCCCCAAGGTCTGTTGGTCTGTGTGATGTATACCTCGGGCTGTGATAATGTCCGCAACATCACAAATATGTGGTGATCGTAACGTGTTAATGGACGCCTCTAAAATTATGTTACATTAGCTTATAATCCTAGAAAATTTTATAAAGTGTGTTTCTTTAGTATAATAATTATGTTGAAATACAATTAATTGTATATTCAACTTTTTCTGCCCTTTATTTATATTCAGTAGGCTGCCACATTATTGTTTTTGAAACATCACAGTTTATTTGACAAAAATGGAAGCACAACAGAGAAATTAGCCTCAAGGTCAAGCTATCCATACTTTCACTGATAAATGAGGCATCTGTCTGCTGTGCTATATAACCTTTTGATAGGCCAATTACAGAAGAGAATTATTAAAATTTGCCTACTACATTTTGCTATAAGCAGGAAGCAAATAATAAGAAAATATATTTTTAGTTATATGATCAATAGAATTGGTTATACAGTACATATTTGAATATTGTACTCTATTAAAATTTATGCTTCTAGCCTAATGACGGCCATTTTTTTGTCCTAGAATAGTCAGCTGTTTTTTTTTTATTGTTTGAAACAGGAATAGGACTAACTTGTTATTATAATTGAGTTTTTTTATGATCCAGACTAGAGAAAATTATCATAGTTAACAACAAAGCTACACAGATCATCTCACTTCATTTAACTATACGCTGCATTCATGTTCCGCTTGAAATGGCTTAAGATAGCATTTCCAGTACTGCTATTCAGCTCATAAGGTACTAATTATAAAGAAGCATTACTATGGCAATAAAGTGATGATTAGCCACTAAATTAAGTTTCAGCAGCCATACCGTTAGTTCAATTCTTTTAGACAGGGCAAAGCACACTTACATGCATATTAGAAGCTGAATAATGATGAAGGGTACGTGAGATGATCTGTGTAGCCGATTAGCTGTTCTTAGCCAGAACCGTTGTTTATGTATTAAAAGCCCAATGATCAAGGGCAGCTGGGTCCAGTTTCGAACTATTAAAAGCTAATTATTATCTTTCTATTAACTATTTTACTATTGATTGAACTATTTTGATTGCTAAACGAGCACTATAACCCCTCAGTTACAGCGAACTAGGTTGTTACAATCATATCATTGAATCATGGAAACAACTAGTTTTTTATGTATATGTACGTAGGCGAGAGGCCGACTAACAGTTGCTAAAGACAGGAAACGGAAAACCAAGTATCCGTTTGAGACATTGAGTGTGAGTGTGCGTGCGTGTGTGTGGAGGTGTCAAGGTCCGAGTATGACGTCAGGTCGCGTCGGAAAACGGGACTTACGTCATCACATCTAGACAACACAATACAGTCATAATCACACATTGATGGATACAACAGGCTGCACTGAACTAGAAACTAACAAGTTAGATTTTTTTTTAATTGAGGGACCATATTTTTTTAGTTGTGTACCAACTTACAATGTATATAAATCAAACATAATACCCACCTACGACTCACGAGAGCAAGAAGTTTTTTTCTGCACATTAATGTGCACGGTGCTTGAACTCTGTTTCGTGTAACAACCTCATAGTTGCCAGTCAAAGAACGCAGGCATCGCCTAAGTATTTCACTTTTCAGATGAAGTGGGTTAGTGGGTTTCACGTTAAACCAGGATTTATATATTCATGTCTAAAATTGGGAAAATAGAAAATATTCAAGCTTTCTTGGCCTCTATAGAATCCAGAAACTAGACGAGCTTACCATTTAAGAAATAACGTCACTTTATTTATCCTCTCTAAAGTTTAGCTATATACTAGTAAATTGTCCTATTAGTGCAGCTATAATGCCCGGTAATCGTCATCCTAAGATAATATCGATACCGGTATAGAAACGTTAACCTTTTATTTTGTGGTCTCTAAAAGACTAAAACGGTACATTTTGATTCATTGTTAATTTTCCAATGTTGGTTATTAATAGGCCTACTAAGAAATAACTAAACACTATATGGTAGTTAAATCCTTTATGCATAAAAGCCAGTGCAGTGGCAGTAGGTATCTCTCTCCCACGCTTCCCATATTGCCACTACTCCATCTAATAAAACGCTGATCTAAAGTAGGGCAATAAGTTGTTTTTTTTATTTAATTTTTAATAAAGCTTTTTGGATAAACTCCCAACTAAGCCACTGGAAATTTCTAAGTCAGCAGGTTAGCTGCTGAGAGGTCATTTTTCATTGTGTGATGTGGTCAAAATACTCGATAGATTGGAATTCAGCGTGACGCCCCCTCCTACCGCAATTCCAGAGCAATCAAAAGAACACGGTGACTCTGTCGTCTACCGCAAGGTCCATCCAAGGCCTGCAGTGCTACCAACCGACGCAGGGAAAATTCCCTGCCTTGGGGAAAGTGAAAGTACGCAACTTTCTTCATTTAAAAGTGATAGTTTCACGTCGCGACTCCTGAATATTTACTGCAAGCAGGTTATTCTGCGCTCGAACGTTCAAACTAATCATCAAATTTTTGACTGGGGGTTTTACTAGTTTAAAACATGTTGTGGTAAACTTTACTAAATATAGTTTCATCAGAAATTTTGAAAATATCTTTTTAGTATTTTCGTACTAGGTCCAATATGATTTTATAACTCTGTGATTAGTAAAAAACGTAGTATTTTTTCATCCACAATGTTTTGGAAAAGATACAAAATATCCAAGCTATAGGCCTAGCTACACTGTCCAAATATTTTCAAAGAGTGTTTTTTATACAAAAGGAAATCCTTAGAATGCACTTTATAATTTATGATGGAGGACAAACGCATTTTGAATTTATTTTAATTTATAATTAGGTGGTTTATTGGATAATGGCTAATATATATAATTTGACCAAAAGGGAAATTAGCCGTTCAAGGAAATTAACCTTCTTAAATTTTGATTTTTATCGTGAAACACGAAATAAGTTGCACAACTTTTTTTTAATATAGGTGAACTGGAGATTATTTGTTCTCGTGACACTTGAAGCAATGAAAAATGTCGTATTGACTTCCAATGTTAGTATTCGAATATTTATTTAGTGATGTCGATAGCTAAAATAATACAACACAACCATAATTAAATTCACCAACATATACTCATTTTTTCATAACTTTATATCCTCTAATCTATCATTTATGATTTTTGCTTTACTTTTATAATTTTGACAAATGCAAGTCACCGCGCTCCTAAAAATTTGTGAGTGATCACAATGCAGTTGTCACAAAACACTTTGAAAGTTGTATATTTCATTATATAGCCTACTATTTTCTGTGTAACTATAAACTAAGTTGGGGAAAACAGTAATGAAATGAAAAAGTGCTTTTAGTTACAAATAAGTGTACAACAATAACTTCTTAGCACTAAATACAACAATGGACAAAAAACCCGTCTGTTGCGGCTGGTGTACCTGGTTAGCACTTGTACAACAATTGACTAACGTAAACTGTTCTCATAAACCAGATTTAAAAAAAATAATGAAACGATTCATTTTTTGACAATAGACATATTTCTAAAACGGATAAATTAAAAAGAATAATAATGAAAATATAAGTAAACTTTCCTTTTTTAGAAACAGAACAATAGCCTACTCTCCATACAATCTAGGAAAAACAGTAAATACGCTTATTAAATGCACCACACTTGCGTTGGCAAGTTTACTTTAGCTAAACTTTACGAAAAAAAGCATGAAATTTAGAAAACCTGCACCTACTATAAAAATTTTGCCTGTATAAAGTGCAAATCAAATCAAATCAAATCCATTTATTGCCATCAAGATTATAGATACATGTATAGCAACGTCATACAATTTCATCACAGTATATCCATTAACCTACTTAATATGTTCTACAAATTCTTTGACCTTATACACACATAAATCACACAAAATCTTTCTAATAGTAAATTTAAATTGTCGTATTTCAAGACATTTAATGTGAGCAGGTAACATATTATACAATCTTTTGCCAAATTCACTAAAGTTATTGATTGTGGTCATAAAATTACATTGGTTTGGACGGAGAAAAGTGTTTTGTCTGGTAAAATGGTTGTGAACTGAATCATTTGTAGGGAAATCTCTAATATTATTTTTAACATACAGTAAGCAATCTAAAATGTACAGAGAAGTGACAGTTAAAATTCCAAGTTTCTTGAATAATGGCTTACAATGTGTTTCACTGTCAACATTGAATATTGCCCTAACAGCTTTCTTTTGCAACAGTTTCAGCTTTTTAATACTACCAGAATGGCCCCACACAACAATACTATAAGACAAATGACTTTGAATGTGAGCAAAATAAATGGATTTCAACACATCTATACTAACAAAAGGTCTAAGTTTTCTAATCATAAATGTACCCTTGGCAACTTTTTTACAAACCCTGACCACGTAGGGCCGGAGACTTGAATGAGAGGTTGTACAGATTCTCTCTCTACAGCACAGGTACATCGTTCTCGTTGTACTGTTTTATGAACTTTTTCCTTATCGGCATCTTTCACCAAGAATAAAATAATCAAATGTACCTGTGTATGTTACAACTTTTTATTCGTAAAAACACATCATGTATTGTAGATAAGTAACAACAATCATCAACGAACTTCAACAATAATTAATTATTAATGGTTAGAACAAATACGACCTTCAAAATATAACCTATACATTTTGTAGCTACGTTTGTTTGTAGGTTAATTATTCGAGTATTAACCTATCTAACACAAATTACAATCTTCTGCAGCCAATTCTAACACGATACGGACACGGTCCACTGTGCAGGGAAAGTAAGGGATATTTCTTGTGCCAGACGAACAGAAATCACTTCACTTTCCACTTCTTCTCACTCAGTTTCAGTTTCTTTCTTGCGTTGGGTTCGTGACGTTAGGATTTCAGCTGATGGTGAATCACCGTTTGACAAATTTTCAACGATGTGCTTCAGATGATAGTGTCCAAAATGCTTTTTCACTTAGTTTTTCACGTTTTACTCTATGGTGAGTATGTGTCTTAAACTCCTATAGACTTTGTTTTAAAACTAACTAGGTTAGTTAACAAACAATCTGTTGTTCAACTCTTGTGAAACTAACTTAAGTCATAGGTTATTTATTGTTTACTTGTAAGCTAAATAATATGTCTAAATTCAAGTAGCTTAGGTTTAAGTTGAGGTAAAATTTGAAACTGCAACATTAAAAATTTCTGTCTTTTTATTTTATAATTTTTGTATGATATTTGACTCAACAAGCTACAAACTTACAACATTTTAACTAGTTAAAAAAATAATGTACAAATGGTTTTCACAACAAATAAAATATCCATATCAAATTATATTAGCCTAAGAAAAATAATGTATGCAATTATATTAGCCTTAAGATGAGATTTATGTAGATGTGCTATATGGGCTCATTTGTTAGCAGGGGTTTTAAATCTATTTTTATTTTAATAAATAATTTTAGTTTTACCAAAAATAGAAAATTAAAAAAATCATGATATGCATACCGTATATCCTAATTAACTATTTCATAAGCCTGTTGGGTCATCAAAAACGCCCAACTATAACAATCAACCCCAAATATATTTTATTTATTAATTTATTTTAATAAATTTCAAAACTGTAATTAAAACTTCCAATTTTCTTCTTTTGAACTGAGTAAACCTTTTTTGTATATTCTTCACAAAGGTATTAATGTCAATGTCCTTAGCTTGAGAAGATCCTTTAAAAGTAGCATATCAAATATAAGCTACTCTCTCTCACACATAAAAACAAAGCTAGGTGTTCAGTACTATTCACATGATGATAAGGAGAAGATTTTTACAATATACAGTATTCAATTTGGTTTGACTTATAAAGTAAAAAAATATAAAAATATCAATATTTGTGGTGAACCAGTACACAGTAGAGCCTTTAAAAATAATAAATACAAGCAACCTGCATTACTTCGTGACTTTAAAATCTGTTATATATTTGATAAGGGTGAAAAAGATTATTTAACTTCTTGATCAGCATCGTACGTGTTATCAAATTACCTGAAAATAAAAAAAATATATACGTCTAATAATATATATACACTTATACTGTTGACTCACATGACGGTAAATTACAAACTTTTATATGTATTTACCGTCTTGTGAATCAACAGTATCAGTGTAAATATATTATTACAAGTGTTATTAGACGTATATAGTTTGTTTTTTCAAAGATTATTTTTCATCATATCCCTATCATTTTCATTGCGTGTGCAATCTCTTAAAAATATCTTAGAAAAATTACAAATACTAATGAAACGTTAGTCTAATATGAAAACACAAAATGTAGGTAATGTGTCATATATTTTCTATATATATTTACTATACATTTGAAACAAAATAACATTACAATATTTTACTTGAATCCCTTAAAACCTTAATAAAACATACTATGGAAAACACAAAATCCTATCCCAACACAAAATCTAACCAAAGTCATTTTCTTCTTCACAAAATGTATTCTACAATGTCTCCTTTAAAATTTTAAAATGCCCTAGGATATTTTACCAACTAAATCACATGTTATTGCAAACCTCGATGTCAACCTTGATAAAAAGTCGTATTCAATAATCCCCATGAGAGTCTTATTATCGAGGTTCTGATGTAATACCCATGAAAGACTTGCTATTAAGGTTCTACTGTATTTAGTCTTTCTGCCTCTTCATGCACTCTCGTAATTAAATTTACTAATTCCACAATGTTTTTGTTGAAAGAAACATTTTCAACTTTGTAAAGTAGATTGTTTATAATATTTTTATATTTCTGCTTATTTTTAATTAAAGTAAATTTACTAACCCTTCTCTAGGATTTAGAATAAACCAAACTGACCAGCAGGGTTTAGAACTGGGCGGGTATAGGAAGTAAGGTGTGATATATTTTTGTAAACCAGTTTTCAAGGCCCTTGCTCTACTTGTGTGCAGCATTGCTGGCATTGCCTCTTGTTGTTGGTTTCACTTTGTAACATTTCACGAGCTACTGCACTGCAATGGATACTTTCCTATCTTGAAAGCAGTTAGAAATAACAAGTGCTGCAATTAAAGTCACTATCGAACTGGATTTAGTAACATAATTATTTAGCAAGGTTTTAGTCTATTAAATAATACACATAGTTATCTGAAATATGCATACCTATATATATATTATATAATAAAAATATATAACAATAAATAATAATAATAATATAACAAAACTTTTCCGTGCAAGATTAATAAAAAAAATGTTACAAGTTTAAGGTATAAGTTAATTTGTTTGTATAATGTGGAAACTAAGGTTTTTATCTTGTTAAAACGATTTACAAACATAGCCCACACAATTTGCAAATCATTTAGTTTTTAAGACTATATATATCTCTAGGTCTATTTGCTTACCCCATGACAACCTTTTGTGTAAAATTTCAGCCCAGTAAGATGCTTTACCTGTGGTCTCTAACACAGTATACAGGGGAAGAGTGGTTCTTGTAATCTCTTGTAAGGATGGATACCCTGCTCTATTGATTATAGAAATAAAACTGAATAACTTTTTGATCAGCATCGTACGTGTTATTTATTACCTGAAAAAATATATATATACGTCTAATAACAATTGTAATATTTATACTGTTGACTCACAAGACGGTAAATATATATAAAAGATGGTAAGTGGTGATAGATTTCAATTGGACACTCCAATGATCCATCAGGGTCGCCGGAAGACTGTCCCCCGGAAAACTACCCCCCCAAGCAGGTCCCTACGTCATATTGACGTCAGAGACCGGGGGGGCAGTTTTCCAGTCACGGACACTCAAATTTAGTTGTCAAACAGTTCTAATCTAACCTAACCTAACCAACCAAACTTGCTGTAACATTTCTAAAATCGGTTTTATATTCACCACATGCCTTTTGTATTATCCAACGGAATTACTCGAATTAAAATTAAAATTACATAGCATGATTTGTCTAGGGGGGGTAGTATTCCAGTCGCGAACACGGCTTCCATATTGGTTAGTTAGCAGATTTTGTGACGTCACGTTTCACCTGGGGGGGTAGTTTTCCGGGGGATAGTATTCCGCATCCCCATCCATCAGACCTAATAGGCAAATGTCATCTATTGGGTCTGATGATTGGAATGTCCAATTGAAATTTATTACCAATTACCATCTTTTAAATGTATCTACCGTCTTGTCAGTCAACAGTATAGGCCTAAGTGTAAATATTTTATTAAAGTGATATTAGATGTATACATATTTTTGTTTTTTTTTTTCAGAAAGAAAACCTAATAAAACATACAAAACAGGCTTACACAATCTCTTTTGTTCTTAACTCCATCAATTCAGTATGTCCAATTTAATCTAGAACAAATAGAATCACAGTTGCACTTACAGAAACCTCCTCTCTTTTAAGTCTATTATAGTCCATACATGTAATAACAATGTTAAGGCCCTTTTACATTGCAGGGTTGGTGTGTGGGGAACAGTACAGAGGTAAACACCTCGGAAAGCTGAACTCGTATCACCACCAAGTGTCCGGGGACGTTTACGCTGTTGACGAGTTCACGTTGCTGCTCACCGAGTTCAGCTACGACGGTAATGGACCCGACTCATTCTTCTGGGCAGGAGCTAGCAACAGGCCGGGGCCGCAGGGCTTCATAGTCCCAGATGAGCATGGAAAGTGAGTCAACTAGAAGGATAAAGTTCTTAAGCATTGTGCAATTGTAATCCATAAGCATTGTTGTCCATAATCATTCTCATTGCTAAAATTTCTGGCTAAATAAACATCTTGTCTTAGTCGATAACAAAGATTTTCAAGGCACATCATAGCGAACTCCATTCCAAACGACCTGAGGAAATGCTAATCATAAGTTCAACTTAATCGTACAACTGGTGCCACACGCTAATATAATTATTAGATTATTTGAATTTAATATTTGAGAGTGTAGAACATTTTTAAATGTATAGCGAGTGATTTATCATTCTAATAAATGCATTAATTTCTATTTACGGATTGTGCTTCAAAGTCACAATACCTGTGGTTACCTACTACTCCACCTTGTATGCGGAGTGGTCTGGTTTAGTTGTGGGACTTCGGTACCTGATGTCCCAGGTTCAAATCCAACCAATCACCAATTATATCTAAGTGATAATGCCGCAACCCTAGGTCCAGTCTCAAGTACTGTAATGTGAAAAACCATTCCGGGCTATAGAACCTATGTGTACTAGAAAAAAATTCCTCCTTGTGTAAATAAGTTGACTTTTTCTTAATTTTTCAGGACCAATGTTTTAAGCCGATATTTCAACAAGGACTTCACTCTGACGTTACCAGATCGGAAGAAAATCACTGACATCAAGTGGTTTGCCATTTATGATTTACTAACTCAAGTAAGTAAATTTTATGATATAATTATAAATCATTAATACTCCTAAAAATGAGTATTGGACAAAATAATTAGATAAAATTCTAGATAATAACAGTAATTACACAAAAGAACATGGATTACTGGGATTTTGCTTGTTTTCCGAATACTTTAAACCTTAAACAATACATTTTTATTTGCTCTCTTTATGCAGAACAATATATCTTTTGGCAGGACTGGAAAGGCTATTACCAGTATTAACAATTTACTTCCCCCTAATCCCCTATCACCTTAATTTAATATAGGGAAATCTCTAATAGGCTACCGGTAGGTTACATAAACATTTCTCATCAATAAGTCTTTTTTCCTATCTATTAGTTGGATCTACAACTTTAGATGTGCCCTAAATCAAAAGGGCAATGGTAACATGAGCAAACGGCTGTAGGAGATTAGCAAGATTTGAACCTAAAGCATCCAAGACAGAGCTCTAATCATAAATTGTTCTATGTTTATTTTCCCAGAGTGCTTTTGGAGATGTCTACATTCCAGAAGAGTTTGAACCACCAGCTGTTCAGACTATCTCGTCTTTTGGCAAGAAGTCGCACGGTGTCAGTTCTGGGCCTCTGAGGATCCTGGATGCCAAGACCTTGGTCATACCGGAGTTCACATACAACGGAGCTGGCAAAGGTGAATAACTCTTCCACTTCAGTCTTAAAAATAGTATGATATATGTGTATTGATCATTATCAACTACTTCAACTTTAATATAGTAACATAAAAATAATTTCACACAGATATTTATTGATTTTTTGATATAGCTTCCTTAGGTCTAAGTCTGTTTTTTTGTGTTTTCTTTGATGATAAAATTGGAAACAACAAAAAAAATATATAAATTTATTTGATGCAAAATAGTAGTTTTCATCACTAGGAGATTACGATTAAGTGTCAAAAAGACACTTGTATGATGAACAACTATTTTCACTATAGGCCTACTGTAGAAATAACCCTCTAATCGATAAAAAATTAGACCACATAATTTAAGGTTAAACAAAGTCGTCATCAATGTTTACATTTCTGTTGTTTACAATCATAACTTAAAATGATGAGCAACGTTTTCATAACTATTATAGTGTGCCATAAACAAATTTTGAGGTTAGCAAACCAAAAAATATACCATATTTTTTGTGCGTCTTATTTTAAGTTTCCCAAAAACGATGATTTGGCAGACAATTTAGAGAGCTAATACCAGCTGTTTTCCGGACAGTATAAGAGTGAAAATTTAAAAACGTACGTTTTCATGTCCCTGGCCTTTTACTTCGTAGATACTGGATTTGTAGTTTATTATTATGTATTTTAATATTTTTTGGGACAGGGGCAACATGTTACACACATTTATTTGGTTTTAAATAGGTTCTAGGTATTTTTTTCGTATTTTTAAAGTCTCGAAATTCACGACCATGACGTGTCCCTTGGGTACATTTTCCAACTTTCACGCTGTTTTTAGACTAATTATTTATGCCGAAATATATCAAGCCATATTTTTATGTCATCAATAGTTATTAAACTTACAAAAAAGGAGCATATTATAATTTTAGTGTCATTGCAAACTGACTACCATGACAAAATAAGTCTGTCCCTCGATTTGGCGTCACGACCATTTGGCAAAAATTTTCAACTTTGGAGCACGACAGTGGCAAGCCTGGCGTCGATTGCGTCAGTTCGTTTTAGAGACTAGTTCGGGGTGTACGTCAAGTTTGTTGTGCCGGTCGTTTTGTGTTGAAAGAAGTAGTTACAAGATTAATAAAGGTAATTTTGTGTTTTTTGTAATTTTGGTGTGTCCATGACCATACATAGTCATTTGATGAAGTAGACGTGGGGTTAATTTTTGTTGATATGATATTTATATTGCTACATTAACCTAGGAAGTCCACTTTGTATCCTCGAACATGAGGTGCAGGGCTACCGCCAGAACAGAGCCAAATAACACGTAATGTCACGACCAAAGTTTCACGACCATCGCGGGTTTTTCACGACCAATCCAGCCTTATGGATTATACTGTGTTTGGTCGTGACAATAACTTAAATATCATTGTAAATTGAACAGTTTAGTTCAATTGAAACACATATTTTTACTATAACTAACAGTATAGTTGAAGGATTGTTTACAAAGGTTTAAAATTTTTCAGACAATTCACGACCGTACCGCTTGTCCCTGACCATCACGTTGATGATTTCTATCATAAAAATTTCAAAAATTAAAATATCATCATATTTCAATGTTTTATACACAAAAGAAGACACTTCTATAAAAACATAACGATTTTTCGGGTCTCAGGTAAGTTTTTTCGGAGTTATACAAACTTAAAAAGATTTTATTGGCTTTTTTCAACTTTTTGAGTTTTTTTATTTTTTTCTAGAAAGACCATATATACCAAAAGCTTAGTGAGCTGTTTATTGTATGATGGTCATAAAAGTAAATTAATTAATAGCAAAACATAGTTACAAAAATAATATTAACTATTTTTAAAATTCAGTTTTATGTCCGTGATGGTCGTGACATAATTTAGTGTTTTTCCATCAAAGATGCTCTATTAATAAAAAATCACCAAAGATATTGCGTTACCATGGACATTTTATGAAACTTCAAATGTCAATGAAATTAAAAAAATAAAAAAAGTTTCAAAAAACGGAACAAAAAATTTTAAAAGTGCTTTTCCTGAAAACGTACGTTTTTAAATTTTCACTCATAAATGATATATTACACAACTGTTAGTACAGGAAGTAGCTATGATTAGTAAAAAAGTATAAGCTTTAGAGAAAGATCAAATCAAAATACTCTAAATCCTGCACTGCCTCTACGTTTTCAACTACCTGTTCCAGTTCTAAAATTCCTCCATACCTCAAAAAGCTTATATGTTTCTGAACTTGCATTCGATTTGTTTCAGACACATATTTTTGGGTCGGAGTAGGACCACAGCCATCATCCAAGGGAACCAAAGTTCCTGATGAAAATGGATAGTAAGTCTCAGTATTTTACTTATTCATATTTTTATTGAATTTCTTGTATTTTTAACTTGTGATTTTAATGTTTTGCAGCAATTATAAAATTACCGGTCACTATTTGTAATTAAGATGTTTCCACAAAACTTTTTGAAATACTGAAATTTAAGTTACAGAATAGTCCAACTGTTTAACAGTCTATTAGGAAAGAGCGATTATGGTATCAGTTTATAAATAATAAAAACAAAAACCAAACACAAAGTACAAGTGCCTATACTAAAAAAATAATATTGGAATAACAGGATTCCCTTAATGGGCAAGTGTCCTTACTGAAACAAGAAACAAAAATCTTACACAATACAGATTATGATCTTTCACTTTCGCAAACCTTAGCCTGAAATAGTGTAGAATCTTGTATTCCTTGTGTCACTGGAATCTTTCCAACACTGGAAGGAAAGTCTTCTATCCCAAAAACAAAGAAAAATTTACAACAATTGTTTGGCTAACCTGCTTGTTCTTTGACAGTATGGAGTCCCTGAGATTGTACGCTGGAGAGACAATCACACTAGAGTTACCAGGTGAGCTGACGATCTTTGACATCGACTGGCTCAGTGTCTACAACGTCGAGACCAAAGAGAACTACGGCTCCGTCATCGTCCCTGACAACCCCAATGTTCCTCCTTCCCTCATCAAGATCATTGTGAGTAAAAGTGTTTGTTGGAAAATATCTTGCCTCACGAACATTTCCTCCCCAGAAAAAAGAAACAGAAGTTCTTTTAGTAGTGTCCCAAGCCTGATAACTTTATCCAAAAATAAATTTCAGATTTTTTTTTTTTTGGGATTTTAGTATGAATCAGTATTACTGGCTTGGGATACTGAAGTAGACTCCCACCTATATGGACCAGCTGTAGCCAATACTGTTACAAAATAGAATAGTTGACCAAGCCGCTTGTAGAGAGTGCTACTGAAGTAGACTCCCTCTCTGGGACGCCTTGGGATGAGAATCCTGTCCAGGAGTTGATCTTGTAGGAACAAGTAAAAGTCCTAACCGTCGGAAGTTAATTAATAATTTATACCTGTAAAAGTAACCACAATATTATACTTAACTAAAATTTAAATCCGCATAAATGTCTTGGAAATTTGAAAAATCTATGACTAATATTTACTTCTTTTTATATCTTCTTTATTATTGTTCTAGCCTCACAAGTCGACCTTACCTAACTGTATTCAACTCCACAAGGACTACCAAGTGAGCTGGGAGATATTTGGACCTCAGATTACCATTCAGTTGGCTGGACAAGTTGGTGAGATATATAAAACTCTTTAAAAGTTGTTTGAATAATTGTCTGTTTTGTGATCTAATTTGATGAGTTTTAATGGGTGGTCCCAGCAAAACTGACAGAGAGCACTAACCCCATTTCTGAAATAAAGTACAGCCACCTTCAAGAAGGGAAAGTATGGGAATATAACAGTTGTATAGTCCTCTAAAACGGTGGGTTCCCTTGGGAAACCCTAAACTGGACCTAAGATATAACCCTATAAGATATAAGTGTATATAGAAGTTAAAGTTAAACAAACAACAAGCCTAAAGAATCCACCAATTCCCTCAACTTGATGTTTTGACCTGCTGATCAGTAGTGTAGTGGAGTGAGAGTGCTTTAAAACGGCTTTCCCACTGCTTTTTCCAAAGAACCTATACATATATTGATAGGAGACGCTGTATTCTTTCTACGTCAACGGTGAGTGTTCCTGACTGAAAACACTACGACCACACCATTGCTGCTGACCCTTTATTTCTGGTCTGTCCACAGTCACCTTCTTTTAGGATTTCTAACCCAAAAAACAAAAACAAACAAAAAATAACTGAAATTAATTCTCTTGTCTGATAACATAACTTATTCCAGTCTCTTGTTCAACTTCTACTACCAGATGGGAATCTTTTCTGGAACGCAATCTAATTTATGTATCTTGTTTAAAACCCCATATGTATCTCCTTTCTTGGTTGGTCTAAATATATGTTTCAGTAAATAATTTTCAAAAGTAATAAATACGTTATTTCACTGTATTTTCTACAATACATGCTTCAGCAACATAGATCTGTCTAGTTTTTGACTAACATTAAAAGATTTTTGACTGAGGATGGTGTCTAGCCTTTACAAACAAGGTGCGGCAAAAAAATCGATCGATTTTCTGCAGCGCACTGTTCAGTGACAGGTCGTCTGAGGGTGGTGGGGGTAGTATCATTGGAAAGCCTACCAAGCACCTGTTCTCTGTTGCGGAAAATAGATTGAATTTTTGCCGCAATCTGCATTTCAGTTTGTAAGGACGACTGTGTTTTCTTTATTTATCTTAAAATGTCACTCCAAGTGTTTTACAGTTTGAAGCGTAACCCTTCATGAGTTACCTGTAGCATTAATATGCCATTAAAACTGTTTTAATACCTCCCTAACAATGTTATCTATGTGTGTAGGTGAGGATCACTACCTGGCGTTTGGGCTGAGTGGAGCTCCAGACAAGATACAGATGTTGGGCTCTGATGTTGCCATTGCGTACATCGACGGCTACCGAGGGTTTGCCAACGATTACAACATCACTGCAAACTCTCCAGTAAGTTGGCCCTAGTAAAACAGATACTGTAGAGTATGTGAGGATCTAAGTGAATTACTTGAATGACGGTGCTTACTTACTTGCTTGAAGGCTTCATCTATGACCAGAATCCCGGATAGACTGCGTCAAACTAATTAAAAAACTGAACTGAGGATGGTGGCGAGTTAAAAAAGTGGCACGACATCTAATTCTTCTAACGAGTAGATTTACTTTGAAGTTTGTCCCGCACTGAGGTTTTAAATCCAGCCACAACCATACCTTCTTTGTATGGTCGCCATTTCAATGAAAAGTAATTAAAGTATACTTCTGCCTTCTTCAGGTAGACTGTTGAAGAAATTAGTTTCAGGGATTTGGACAGTCTGTATTGAGGGTTGTCGTGTGGTTTCTAATTGTAGTGTTCCTGGTGTTAACTGATGGATATCCTGTCTTCTTCCTTACATAGAGATGTTCTGGCGTACGCGTATGAGACAGTTGAGGACAAATTGTCCATAAACAGTCAGGATGCCGAGACGTTGAAAGCTAGGCCTGAGTAATGGCAATTAGATGCAGGGCCGGAACAAGGGGGGGGGCAGAGGGGGCGGTTGCCCCGGGCGGCAGGGTTGAGGGGCGGCAAATTTCTGGTTGCAGTAAATTTGTTAAATACAGTTTGTAAAAAGTTTTTAATGAGCCGAACGTCATAAGGAACGTTAATTAAGTAATTTCAAAACTGCATAACGTAATAAACAAACAATAATTTTACAATAGAAATCAATATAAATTGCAACGGAGTAGAAAACACTGAGAGCCCTAATAGCATAGTTAGCAGCACAGAAAAGTTTGTTTATAATTTCAGCTGATCGCCATCCCTGTCAAGGCGCCATGCCGCCCTGCCTCACTGCCGTGGTTCGTTAAATAGAGGTTAGGTTTGCAGGAATTTCGCTAAGTCGAGGTTCAGAACCAGCGTCGATCAATATAGGTCGGGACTTGACCTCATTAAAATGCAGTACAATTAAAGTAGCATGGGCTACAATACTTTACAGTACAGTGTTTACATTGTACAGTAGAACCTAAATTATCCGGCATTCGGGCATAATAAAGGGGAGGGATCTTGAATATTGCGCAATCATGACAATGGCATTGACCTTGGTACAGGTTAAAAACTATAAGTTTAAAATCACAGCTTGTTCTAACCCTCCTAAAACCTAGCCAAACACTGTATTGCGTAGTCATAAATTATGTAAAGAACAAAACAAAACAGTAGAAAGTTTTGTAAGCTACTGCCCGCGATTGATCTGTGCATCACTTTTTAATATTTATTAATATTTATGGTATGTCTTGTTGTTGCCTTTATTGTTAAGTTTTTATCCCTTCAGAGTTTACCGTACCTTTTATACATTGTTCGCTTCTGTAAATTTGCTGTTTTTGCCGCCATAATATGTATTTATTTTGTAGTGTTTCATATTTTTGGGTTTGCTTATATTTAGTCTCTACTTCGTTATTATTTATAGTATTATTGTTCCTGCATGTTAACTAGTTTTTATTGCCACTTGCTGTGATATTATTTATCATATATTTATTTTCTCAACTGTGTTTTGTTAATTGAGTGTAGGTATGGGAGATAGTTGTAATGGTCGCATGTATTATTATGTAATCTTTTTTTGGCTATCTGTAGTATAAATTGCAATGTCAAATGTAAAATGGTGTTTGCCGTATACAAATAAATAAATAAATAGGCCGGTAGTAGCCCTGAGGCTACTTACAGTACAGTACTGATTTATCACAACAGAGGAATGTCAATAATAATCATTAACTATAGCATTGGTGTTGCTAATGCTAGTTGAAACAAATCGTATTGAAAACAATAAATTATTAGATAAGTCATTATAAAAGTGTATAATCATAGCCAACTTAAGGATAGTAAAAATACTCGTAAAAGGAATGTTAAAATAAACGATGTTGTTATTCTTTCTCTTTGGTTTTGTTTTTATATTCTTTCTTAGGTTTTTCTTTATCAAACAAATTTTACAATTCACCATAGTTATCCCATATCGCCCAATCACAGCTTACTAAACATAACGTCGTCATCAGTCCTCAGTGAATGAAATCAGTTCTCAATTGCAACATAGCGCGCGCAGCGACAGCAGACTAAGATGTAAAACGGAGCAGACGAATGTTAGCGCAAGCGATGACGTGACCTTTCCATTTCATTTGATAAAGAAACAGATTTTCCCAAAACAATAATTGGGTGGGGGATTTGTTATATCGAGGGAAAGACGTAGACAATTTGTTATGCAGAGGTTAAATTCGCAATGTAGATGTTCTGACAATGATAAATTTGTTATATTGAGGTGTCTTATTTTAGCCGAAATCACGAAAAATTCGTTAAATCAAGGTCGTTGTTATAGTTTGTTCGTTATGTAGAGGTAAAATATACATTATGTCTTATGGAGAGTTCTAGGGGATTAAAAAAAAATCGTTATGTCAAGGAATTCGTTATATCTACCTATTCCACTTTACCCTCCATTTTTGTTTAATTTGTGAGGGATTTTTTGTTGAAGGGGGGGAGGGGCGGCAAATTTTAGTTTGCCCCCACTCAAAAATTGTCTAGATCCGGCCCTGATTAGATGGATAAGTAAGATGTTGATGTAGATGGATTAGTTTTAGTGATATAGATGTATTGCAATAGTTTCAACACAAGAGAACTCTTTACAAGTTCGGTGGGTGCATTTTATTGTAAACCAAAACCAAGTGCCTCTATTAATAATTTAAATGTATCATAACCAAGTTTATCTTTTTCCAGTGTGTAAAAGTCCTTGGACAGTACAAAGGAGTGTGCAAGGATGATCTTATTGGAGGAATAGACAACAACCAAATGCACACAGCGTCTAGAGAAGATGGCATCAACTATATCACCTACAGGCGAACTCTCATATCTTGTAAGAATGCTAAATTTATGCTGTTACTACTACAGCTGGGACAAAACTAGATAAGTTTTCCCACTCTGTAGAGTCATTTGTATCGTTGCTCTTTAAAACTCTTATTCTCATAAAATATGTCGTTTGTAACATTGTTCAACAAATAATATTCAATTATATTTGCAGTTAGTTTAAAGTTTGCTTTGTTTTTTGAAATCATGAGAAGGAATGTTTTCTATGATATTTTCAGCTGAGTCAGGAGATCGAGAGTTTAAAGAGGAAGGGCCCAGCCAGCTGATTTGGGCAATGGGTCGCTTGGACCACAAAAGTGAGCCAGCCTTCCACGACTTCTACCCAAGAGGAAGCCTTAGTGTTGAGTTGGGCCGCAAGGAACCTTACAACACCTGCTTCTCCTTCACACGAACCTACAAAGAGCTCAGGTAACTTACAAACAAGAAAATATGAAGGCAATAATATGTTTTACATACCTCAGTTGTATAGTCCAACAATTAAGATTTCTAAGTCGCTTACTTGTCAAAAACACAGTTTTGATGCAGTTTAGACTAATTGTATTTTTGACGAGTTGCAAGCTTTGAACATGTTAGGTACTGAGCAATCTTAATCGTTGGACTTTTTGACGGAGGGATGTAAATTCTTCAATTATTGTCTTAACAAAATAGTCAGGGCCAGAAACATGAATTTTGCTAGAAAATACAGTATTGTCAGAGATCAAATTTGTTTGTATCTTAAACACTGTAAACTGTTAAAAATTAGCTCAAACCTTGTCCTCACATCCTCCTATAAATATTTCCAGAATGTGGAAAGAGGCCACCAAATGTTGTTTTATTTATATAGATTGCCAGCTAGGCCTACTAACTTTTGGAAAAAAGTTTCCAAAGCTTTCTAGTTTGTAGGTCTATACCTACACAATTTGAATTTTTCTCTTGAAAAATAGTTGAGCACTACAAAAAATATTTGTCAAAATATTGTGCAGATTTGACAATACGTGTACAACAATGTCCCATGTCCTTTGTTCTAGGGAGCCATGGGAAAGACCCAAGATTATTGATAGAACTTTACGAACGTTCACTGCAACACTCGGGCCTGCTGGTGGGAAGAGGGGATACCAGGGTATCACAGGTACGATTGTTAAGATAAAACTAAAGATAAAGTGGCTGAACTTTGCTCAAGGCAAACGTGTGCTGGCTAACTGTGTGTGTAAAAGCAATTTTCTTTGTGATCCATCTATCCAAAAATGCAAACTATGTTTTCTCCTAGTACTGATAAACATATGGAAACAAAAAAATATAATTTTCACATGTTGTGTGTCCAGGAATGCCTTCTAATGGCCTGGCGTGGTACATCAACGGCCTGCTAGTGCCAGAGATATGGATGAGAAGAGGGTTTACCTATGCTATTCGTATCTACGGAGGCAACAACCCCCACAGTGCAGAGTTCTACAACCCTCTCATCATCACGGATGAGCCACACGGAGGTCTGGAGCGGCTGAGCGAGGTGGCGCAGAGGAAGATACGAGTGCTTGCAGGCGTGCAGTTCACTCTACGAGGGCAGCCACGCCCCACGTCAGGTATGCACTGGCCGATTTGAGGAGGTTTGCAATGGAAAAGAATTGTAGAACATCTATCCCTCTCTAGTTGGGTCTCAAACTGTATTAAAGAAATATTATCAAACAAATACAGATTCATTGTAGGGTTTTACTGCTTTATTTTGTGATAAATACAAGATTGCCTTTGTAGGATGGGCTCAGCATTGAAAAGATGAAGTCAAGGTTGTTGCTTTTGTTAAGAGGTTGGCAGCCTGTTTCAACATTGTTTATGCCCGTCCACATTGGTCTCTGGCCTGCTCATTTTCTATATAAATCTATGTGTTTCCACAAATTTATGGTGTCTTGGTGAAGTTTTATATGGTTTTTACTGTTTTTTATATATATTTTATCATCTTATAACTAAGTTTCGCCGTGTTGCCACTAGGAAACTCGGTTGAGCAACAGAATGACTTTCTCACAAATTGAAATTGAATAAGTTAAATTTAAGATAAGTTAAGTTGAATAAGATAAGTTTTTGAATTCACATTATGTTTTAGCTGGACCTCTGTGCCTGGCACGCCACAAAGGAGTTGATCGAAGATTAGATGATGACTTTCCAACGTTCCGCAAGTTCAACAGGTCATTGTCCTTTACTTGCGAAGAAGGTAATTTTTGTATATCATTCTGACTTATGTGTGTTGTTTTAAACATTGTTTTAACCCATTTACTAGTTTATAAATACGATCACAGAAAACGTACTACTATAACCCAGAATGCCAACCGCATGGTAAAAAGCATTAAGCGTTTTGAGAGAGTTTTGCCTGTCAATCCGTAGGCAGCGCCACCAGCGTTGCCATGCAATAGCATAGCAACGCTGGTGGCGCTGCCTACGGATTGACAGGCAAAGCTCTCTCAAAACACTTAATGCTTTTTACCATGCGGTTAGCATTCTGGGTTATAGTAGTACGTTTTCTGTGATACGATACAAGGAAGTATATTTAATCTATGATCTTCTATAGGGGATCCAGCAATTCTAGAAGTGACGCCTAACTCCTCGTGGCCTGACGTCGTCTACTACAACAGTTACACCCATCACAACATGGGCTGGAAACTACACGTTGTAGACAGCCTTAGTTTGGCATTCACCAGTGATGCCAACACAACCACCATCGCAACAGCTGTGCAGCTAGCTTTATTCTTCCTACTATTTGTATTTAGGTAGCAAACAAATTGTACAATTATTTATTAAAACTTTTTTACAAGTAGTGTTTTTCTGTCTTGTCCAATCCCAGCATAAACTGTAATGTTTACCTACAAACAGGTACCCAACTCAACCGTGAAACCGTAAAAACTGTGAAAGAGCAGTGAATTTGGCGGTTTTTTTTTTACTCTAAAAAAAGGTATGAGCAGATTTGATTCCTTAAACCCTCAAAACAATGATATTCAAGCAATTGAGAAACTTAAGGAAAAGTTGCTTCCCCACTACTTTGTGGCTTTCAAGTCAATAAAAATCCCAGAATCTAGTGCGTAAGATCCACATCTTGAAAAATATTCCAAAATTATCAGCCCTATTCGAAAACACAGGAATTGTCGGGTTTTCAAAGTCCCTACCGTACGTTTAAATAATTCAATTAACAGTTGAAATTGGTGCATGAATAAAACTGAATAAACTTACCTGGTTAATTTTTAGCTGCTTGACTAAAGATGAATGGTTCTTTTATATTGTGTTTCTGAGTTGGAAGAAGAGTGAAAAGTGTGTGGCAGAGTGATTATTTTTTATAAATAGCCTAAATAAAACAAACGAGTGATCCCCGATATTGCATTTCCAACCACAAGACACTCACAAGGAATCAACTCTTGACCATATTCATTTTTTGATTAAAGATGGGAACTTTCTAAGAAGGGTGCAACTGTCATGAGCCCATCAGTATCAAGGAAAAATATAGATTTTAACAAATGATTTAATTACTAAAGCTCGCCTCGTGGTCGAAAAAAAATAGTTGAGCACTACAAAAAATATTTGTACCTACTTGTGCAGATTTGACAATTTTACAATATAAAAAACAACCAAAAATATGTACTGTGCAAACTTCTCTATTTTCATCCCACGCTGTAAATAAAACAAGTGATTGGAATTTATTCCATTTGTTTTAATTTCCTGTTTATATTTTGTTGTTATTACTTCACCAACATGGCAACCCATAAGACCCATGTTAGTTGTTTTTTTTTTTAATTAATTTTATATGCTTATTTTTTAACCTATTTCAGTTTATAAAGAGATTCTGCACATCTACAGGCAAATACCTTTCTAACAGTATGCATAGATTTTCTCTGTGATGCACAGGAGCTGAGAAAAAAGGTTTTCAATAAACATGCTTGTCCTATTTAATATACTGTATAGAATTAGCCCCATGTTAAATCTCCATAAGAAAAGTTGAATTTTCATTAATTTTGAACCACTTATTATAAATATTCTCAAAATACAAATAAAACCTGCACATATAGGACCGAACCCTTTTCTCTTGGTACAACCTGCGTGTAAATCGGTTTAGTAGTATGGTCAGGGTGGCTGCCATAAGCTTAAAAATTTGGCCCCATGTTAAATCTCCATAAGAAAATTTTAATTTCTATTTAGACCCATAATTAACATAATAAATACTTTCAAAATACAAATAAAACCTGCACATAAAGGATTGATAACCTTTCTTTTGGTACAAACCCGTTTGTAAATCGGTCCAGTAATATGGTCAGGCTAGTATAGAACATGTAGAAAATACACTGTGCACGAAAATACCCCTGGTAGGAAATATTGTGTGAACACAGTGTATTTTCTACATGTTATATGGCCTACTTACACTTTCCAGGTAAGCTAGCTGTTATCCTCATTTTTCTACAATTCAATACCATTTATATTTTGTTTATGTATGTTAAATGAAGATGTACTTACGTAACTTTTTTCAGTCAGCCTCACAATAATCTAACATTTCTTTTTTCAACTGAAAAGAACCAACAATTAATTCTACTTTGAAATATCTTTTTCCAATCCAAAATTTTACAACCGCACCACCTCACCATAGACCGCATAAACTAATTGCTTAAGTTTACTGGGGAAAGGATCTCCTGATCTCCACACACTGCAACACTGTTGTTTAATGACATGTTGTGGCTTTGGCAACAACTACAATTTGTAGAAAATTATTGTATTAGATTTCTATTCAATAGACATGCCGACCACATCACACCCTATATTACCTAACTAATTAATCAATTTTGAAATATTAGAACACAACAGAAATATCCTCATATCAATCACATATGATCTTGGAATTCAAAATAACATTGCAAATAATTTCAATTTTTGCGTGAAAGGAAGGAAGTCTTGTTTTTGGCTCATCCATAGTGCACATTCCTTGTTACAGGACAACTGTATATAATAATTTGTATTTTGTCTTTAATTTAATTTCATTTCATTTTTATATTCCACGGCAATGCCATTTACAAAATACAATCAGTTAAGATTATTATAAGATTATATAAAAAACATTATATTACAACAAAAACAACATTTCATCAGCAAATGCATAAATAACTTACAAGCAATCAACAATAACAGCTATAAAACTATGACATAACAATAACAATAACAATGCAGAATGACATTGAATAACAGTAACAAGGCATAAGAATATTAATAACGATAACAATGAAATGTATGTCTGAATCGTTTGGCAGGATTTCTGAGTTTTAACTGTATTCTAATGTAAGTGGTGTAGTTCCTCAAGTCTGATGTATATCTGTATTTGGATGTATAGTGTAATTGGGTGTGAATTAATTAATCGTGTAGAATTTTGTGATTAAGGGAGGCTAGACTGTCGCTGTAGAGGTCAACATTAGTTGAGAATTCGTTTCCTAGCCGTTGCTGGAGTCGGATCATCGGACTATTGCCCAGGTAGTTAGTCCTGTACTGCGCCCTGAAGAAAACATCTGCAGACCTGGTACTGCCTGGAACTCGAAATAACAGCTTTTCCAACAGCTGAGGAGAGTCAATTTTACTATTGATCAGTTTTAACAAGAAAGCCAGATCCGCAACATCTCTTCTCTTGGTCAGAGTATGGAGGTTCAGCAGGGACTCAAGTTCTTCAACTGGGACGTCTCTATAGTTGTAGCCACATCTAACTCCCATCATTCTTGCAAATCTTCTCTGAATTCGCTGTAACCGAGAAACGTAGATGTCATGGTAAGGTTTCCAAACCACCGACGCATATTCCAAAATTGGGCGCAGGAGTGTCTTGTAAAGGGTAGTTAGAGTTTTTATTGAAAATCCATTTCTTGATAATCAGACCGAGGATTCCACAAGCTTTCCTGCAGATTTCATCTACGTGGTGCTCAGGCGTAAGGGAAGAATTCCAATAGACTCCGAGGTCTTTAATTACGTGGCACCGGCTCAGGGGAGTACCATCCAACCGATAATCCAAATGTACAATAGTTTCACGTCTTGTAAAGGATATTACATTGCATTTAGATACATTGAGATACATCAAATTCTGCTTGCACCAAGACTCGATGCCAGCGAGAGTTCTCTGCAGAGATTCACCATCACTAACATTTCTGATCATTTTAAATAATTTTATATCATCGGCAAATAACAGGTATTCGGACTCAATTACTTCCCCTATATCATTTATAAAAATGTTAAACAGACAAGGCCCCAAGAGAGATCTCTGGGGAACCCCTGACAAAACTTTCATGGGTAGAGACTCAGCATTTGCAAATCTGACTATCGAGTGTCTATTCCTCAGATAATTGTCAATCCACAATAGAAGTTTGCAAATAATACCATAGGCCTTCAGTTTAGCAATAAGATGATCATGGCTCACTTTATCGAAAGCCTTACTACAGTCGAGAAACAAGGCATCAACTTGGGCTCTATTATCAAAGGATGAATATATGTACTACTCAAAGGTAATTAGATTTGTTACTGTAGACCTTCCCATAGTAAACCTGTGTTGTTCTTTAACTATGAGACTTCCAAGTAGAGGCCTGAGTCTATCTAGGACCAATGTTTCAAAAGTCTTTAAGTCAAAAGATTCAAAAGTCTTTACAGCATGCACCAGTGACGTAGCCAGGGGGGGTCCTGTGGGTCCGGACCCCCCCCCTTCTGGTCTTAAATATAATATTTTTTGTTAAATTAAATGTAGAATTATATAATCGTACTGTATTGACTTTAGGGTTGATTATTTTCAATGCCAAGAGATCTAAAAAAGACCGTTTTAGGGTCTATATTTTTAAACATTTTCCCGGACCCCCCCTTTACCTGGACTCCCCGGTCGGTCGACCCCCCCTATTTTGAAATACTGGCTACGTTACTGATGCACACTGTAGACTATATTATTATATTGTTATTATTACAGAGGTTACAGGTAACTTAAACTGTAAGAAAGGACAAGGTCTTAAGTTTGCCTCAATAAAAAGGATTTTCATTTCATTTAATCTTTATAACTCAAGATTTAGTCCAACTTACGAAAAAATAAATAAGTTTATGTTCTGTAAGTTAGTTCATCAGCTGTCAAAATGTATATTTGCAATTTTCGAAATAAGTTAATTGTATAAAGGTAATTATTACCATTCTGCTGTACTCAACAAAATTGCAAATCAAACTCACTGATTACAGGTTTGCTGCGACAGGGGTGTTGTATTATTGTTAGCAACAATGAAATCACATGGCACATTATTGTAACATCTGTTCGTGAAACCGGCATAAAAAAGTTTTGCACAGTGGCGCTTTAGTTACACAGTTCACCGCAGTAGCCGGAGATCGTTTTCGGTGCGCAAACATATGCGCAGAGAGTGTAAGTTGTGACTAGTGAGTGCGACATTTTGTGGACAGTAGATTTTAGTTTGTGAAGTTTTGGGTTTCTTCGGAGATCCAATGTGTATTGTGTTGTTATAAATACTAAAAAACTTAAAAATGACATCTAACAGTTCGAAACTATCAACAACCGAACGAGTTATTAAAAGTAAGTCGAGAATTTCATTGAAATAAGACTACAGAGTGAGATTGATTTTCCAAGTCGCCATTGCCAGATAGATAGTCTATCGATTAGACCTCTTATTTTCCCAGTTTTTTATCCCTGTGATAAAAATTTATGGTTTTATTACATGCAATGCACTTTTCTTCAGATGTTCATCCAATTACCATACCAGAAACGCTTTTAATCAACAACTAGGTCACCGTATTGCCTGCAACCTTTCCTTTAGTTGTTGGCCTAGATGGGATTGGCTAACCTGTGTGGCCTAGCTAACCTCATCTCAAAACTAAGGGATCATTTGTTATAACTTTTGCTTTTACTTTCTCTCTTGTCTATTTCAACTTCTCTCAAAATAGCCTCTGTTAACTTAAGTTATACAATTTTAAAACAAACCTGACAGTCCTAAAAGAAATTGATTCAAATTAGGGCCTATCTAAGATTTTCAGCCAGACTCAAGATTATTAATCCCTATTAGGCTATTGATTGAGCCCAGGAAACAAAAAATGTCTTCTTGTTAATTTCAGGAAAACTGACCCTTGCTTCTAGGTCAATCCTCTCCTAACAATAAGTTTTTTGCTCAGTGAACTAAATAATTGATTAGGCCTTACTTAACAGCCTATAAAATCTTAATTCAACATAGGGCCTAAGTCACCGATAGGCCTAAGTTAACTAAAGTTACCGTACCGGTAGGCCTACTTAGATTTTTTCAGGCAGATAAGCCTATCACCAAAAAGACAAGTAGGCTAGCAAAAGTGTAAAATACTTAATAAGTTAGGCTAACTTAAGTTAGGATAAGTTAAGTTAATTTAGAATTTATGAGGGAATCAATAAATGAACCTTAACTTTTTTAAGTTAAGTCCCATTGCTTGTTAAGTTGGTACGGTAAGTTACTTTCCTGTTAGGGGGAACATTCATTATTATCGATGATTTTTCTATCTCGATTTAACTTAACTAACTTAACTTATTTGATATTTCGATATCGGTCCGTTAATTAAGTTAAATAATTCATTAACTTAAGTACCACTAAGTTAGGTACTTTTTTATCAATTCCATTTCCTTACCAGAATGTTTTCATAATCAGCAAGTTTGGTTGGTTAGGTTGGTTCAAGTTAGTTTTTATAATAAATATATTCATGGACTGTTTTTAAGGTGCGGAAACCACTGCAAATTATACAAAAATATGTACGAGACTTCTTTCTCAAGGCGCGGAGCAAATACTTATATTTTCACGGTTGTGAATTTAATCAGAGGCTACATCATATTATAAATATAAATACCTAAGAGTGTACGGGCTGGAATTTTACCCCCGGACTTTTACCTCCTTCATGAGGTCACCTCAAAATGTACAGCTCGGATTTTTACCCCCTGGCCATATAAATTAGTGAGAATGGTTACCGTTTAATTCTCTTCATTCAGTTTTAATTTAATAAGTTAGTAAACACTTTATAATTTTAGTAGCCTGGATCTTAATTTATTTATAACATCAACTACACAGGTTTTTAATTTTAATTTTGAGATTCGAGTGTATCAGGATTCGATCATTGAAGCCATCATTGTTGGTTAATATGATCAAAATTAAACAGCGAATTCTGTTTGAAACCGGTAGGCTACTTAGCCTAGTTGAGATAGGCCTAACAACATAAATAAATAATGATAGGCTAATTAATAATAAGATGTTTACAATTTAATGAAAATAAGAAATACGAAAATCAATAATTCATTCTTAATGATTTCTATCCGGCCAGGGGATAAAAATTCGGGGGGTAAAAATCCGAGCTGTAGCCTATATCTACAGTTGTCTAAACGCTAGTGATATGGACAGGGGGTAAAATTCCGGTTTTTATTGCTAATCTAATTAAGTTAATTATGCTCTGTCTATTTTCATTAGACTTCCAAATCCGCGGGGTTAAAATTCCGCCCGAGAACAAACTTTTGAGCGCTCAGGTTACTACGTCATAGTGACGTAACCTTTGCCCAGGGGGATAAAATTCCGGCGACCCCTTTGAAGAGGTTAGATTAAGTAGGCCATATGCAATAGTTCTCTATTACCGTACATATATAGCCATATTTTCGTTTGATGGTAAATTCAAAAGCAACATTTTATTTTTAAAATTATTAAGTTGTTTGTTTGTACTTAACTGTAATAGCCTATTTATAATTAATTGTAGCTGTCAGCTGATATGTTTGAATTTGTTAATTAACGAGATATCGTATGGAAAATATTAGGCTAAATATCAAGATATAAAAAAATCATCGATAATAATGAATGCCCTTTACAGGAAAGTAGGTCTACCCTTAAGTTGTTCGTTAAGTTAGCGTACACTCTCTTTTTCACTTACCTTAATTTAATCGTGGTAACTTAATTGTGAAAATAGATGATTTGGTCAACTCGTAAGAATTCCACAATTAGGATTCAACATGTTCAAAAGGTGACAAGTTCCTGGATAAATAACAATTCTTATTAATGTACTGGTAGGGCCTATATTAAACTTAACCCTCCGAGTGTTAAGCGTCGCGTAATCCACGCACAACACACCCGCCGTGGTGTTATGCGTCGTTTAAGCGACACACAAACATCTTTTATGGCAAAGGCTCTGAGACTGACTGAATCAGATTGAACTGGATCGAGATTGGTATCGTTGTTTTCGGCAGATTCTAAGCCTTCTCCTGATGTCTGTTTCTAGACGCTTTTCATTTTAGTTCCGAAAATATTGTAGCAGACGGATGACGTGCGTAGGCCTATTTGTAAACAACTTGGTTAACCTCGCACCAATGACTGGTGTGTTTTATTACGTTTATCATTGTTTTAGTGTTAAAAATCAAAAGTAGTGATATACGTGGTGCATTAAGAAGATTTAAGTGATTTTGAAGGGCTGGTTGATGCTCCTGAAGAGGTATGTAGTGATATTGATGTAAATGATACGCCAGATTCCTAGCTATGGTTTGGCTACCTATGCATTCTTATCTAACGCTAAATGTACAGAATCTGTTTTTCACCCATACTTATTTATTTGCAAACCTACTTCCTTATATTGTTATATTTTTGGAATCCTCATAAAATTTAGAACAAAGTGGCTGTTTTGAAATATTTGTAGACCTAAGTTAAAATTATTATAAATTTATTGAGCGCAAACATAAATTATTTTTCATTTATTTTATAATTTTTGAGAAATGTTAACCCCACAAAAATTTTTGAAAATTTTTTTTGTAATGTTTTATATATTACATTAAAGCCCATAGTTTTCCAAACAAAATGATATATAAAACAGTAGGCCTACTTTAGAGTGTTTTTAAGTTTCTAAGATACATTTTAATAAAACCCTGCGATTGCGCTTAAATGGGCGGACATTAATACCATTACTATGGACACTTGGAGGGTTAAGGTTTCTTTGTAGGCCTATCTTAGTACGGTTTCAGGTGCTTGATCTTATTCTTATCGTAAGCGTATATGTTAAGTTAAAATAGGCTAAGTTATCGGTGCTACCGTAGCTTTATTTCCGTTTTATACAACCATATGACACATGTATAGAAAAAACCAAAATTAGTAAGACTAAGGATAAAATGGTAACAATTAACTTTAGGCTTAAGAGTAACCTATCTTATGCCCATCAAACAATAACTTAAACTCTTGGAAATAAAAACAGGCCTATTAAATGTATGCCTAACAACAAATACAGAGGGTAGGTTCTAAAATTGAAATACCTTAAATAATAAGGTAATAAAATATTTTAATTAGGTTGCAATTTTGTCTAAAAGGTAGGCAACTTAGCTTATTAAAAATTTATTCTCATGAACTGTTTTGTCTGACTCTTGTTTATCTGAGGTTAAACATTCAACTGAAGGATCAGCTGTTAGATCAATTATCAATTTTTTAAGATGGGGACGCCACTATGTGCGTATTTTAACCCAAATATGAGTGAAGGATGAGTGTAGGATGAGTGGCGCGATCTTGTAGTCTTGTTAGTGACAAAGGCCGACATATTCCTTAGAAACAGCTGTTAATTAATAGCCCATACAGCTAATGGCAATTAAGGGACCTACAGTTTATTGTGGAATCCGAACTACATTTTTCCTCGTAATTAACAAATTGGTCTAATTATTAGGATAGTACTGCAGATAGTCGTAGTACTCACTAGTGCGGACGTAAATCCACACCAGGGAGCATCGCATCCACAGTGCATCCCTATAAATATCCACAATTCGTGACCTCCTAGTAGCTGAGGACGATTTCAAATGTATAACCTTGATAAGAAGACTCTTATGGGGATGATCATATATTACTTGCTATCAAGGTAGACTCCTTAATTAAAGGTTTGCAACTGCAAAAAAATGTTTATTTTATGTTTTTACTACCTACATGTAACTAGATGCATTTAAGAGAATCAAGGGTATTTCGAAATGAGACTTGCTATCAAGGGCCACTTGAGAAGAAGACCCGCAATAAGGGGCAGTAAGGGGGGGTAGGGCAACACTCGATCATTGAAAGTGACAAACTCTAAAAATAATTGAATCGCAAGAGGGCAAAGCCTTTGAGGGCTAAAAATGAAATAAAACAACCAAGAATAAATTGTACTGACATAAAAAAAAAACATTTTAACCACAGTTCCAGTGTTACGACATTGGTGTTGGAAATGCATTCTGTCATATATGGAATAGAAAGCCTAATCTATCAGTCCAAATTTTCAAACACCCTTTCCAGCAGTCAATAATTTGACAAATGTTGACTTCCAAGTCATTTAGAGTCTGTGCCTTGTCAATGTAGATTTGAGGCTTGACATATCCTCGGACAAAAAGTGTTCTGTCGGCATGATATCACACGACCGTGGAGGCCAGGTAACATAATATCTATTTGAGATGATGCATTCACGAAACATTTCTCTCAAGAGACCAATTGTGTCGTGTGTGGATGTCACGCCGTCTTGTTGGATGGAACCACATATTTTCTTAATCCATTACGATTTTGTTTAGCTGTAAAAAGTCCTTTACCA